TGGTCCTGCGTCGCTTGCTTTGCCGCTCATTTGCCGCACGAAGCTCCTTGTTCTCTGCTCGGAGCAACACCATCTCATGCGCCAGTTTCGAGATGCTCTTTGCCTGCAAGTCGATAATGTCGAAAATGTGGGTGGGAGAGCTGCCTTGATGGTTTTCGATCTTCCGTTTGAGAGTGCTGGAGCTCCGGGTCGCATCGTACGCAGTGGACGGGGTCTTTGGGACCCAAGACGAGGCTGTTCCAGGACGCGAGCTCGGAGGAGACGGGGTGATTGGCTTAGGGTCGAGGCGAGAGATCACCGATTCGGGGTCGAAAGGGACAAGGCCAGTTGCTCTAAAGCCTGCTCGTACGTTGCTCGCTGTGATAGACGCGTGGAATGCCTCTACAAACGCGTCGAAGAAGTCCTCCTTGGTGATGTGGGTGATTTGCATTCGCATCATCTGCTCGATTTGCTTGCCGTACGAACGCTTGAGTGGGCTGAAACACCCAACATCGAGAGGTTGGAGGAAGTGAGATGAATGGGAAGGCAGGCAGAGCGGAACAATGTTGTTGGCCTTGCAGTAATCTTCGAAGTCGATCGAGTGGTGGCTTTCGTGACCGTCGAGGATGAGCAGTCGATAGACTCCCTTCGTACGATGTTTGGTAGATTGGTCGAAATGTTTTAACCAATCAAGACCAATCTCATTTGTTGTCCAGCCATTTTCGCTTGTATGGACTCTCCATTCGGGCTGGAATCGGCTGTTCTGGTACCAGGGGAGAAGGTGGTTTTTTCCCTTGACTACGAAGTACGGCGGCACGATCCAGCCATCCGCACACACAGCCTGGATCACAGTAACCCATTCCCGATTGCCAGGCTGCTTCGTACGAGGCCGGCCACGGCGTTCGGAGCTTGTCACGACCTTTGCGCTCGAGAGTATGCCCATCAGAGACCCAGTCTCGTCGAAGTTGTAGATGTCCTCCTCTTGGATCCCGTATTTGTCCATCATGTTCCGTACGACCCGAAACCACGCCTTCACCACGTCAGTGTCTTTGCATTGGGCCCTCTGGTAATCGACTCGGCGTCGGAAACGCGTCGTAAGCTCGGGATGTCGTTTAACAAACCCGTTCGCCCATCGAATTCCAACCTCTGACGCGTCGCGATCCGTACGAAGGCGATTAGCCATTTCTCGAATGTCGGAGAGCCGGGGCTGGAATCCTCGCGCATCAAGGTCGAGTACCCTCTCAAGAAGACTTTTTCTTCCAAGTCGGTCAATTTCCGAAGGTTGGCAGGTAATTCGCGTCGTGGTTGCTTTCCGGCGCGTCGGTGACGGAGCGAGGTTTCGGGGATCTCGTAGATTGTAGCAGCTTTTCGTACGGAAAGATTAGGGTCTTTTTAAAGAGCTTCGAGCGCAAGGATCATACGACTTTCTTTTGGAAGAGATTCCATGTTGTGTTGTGGAAGAAATTTCGTGATGAAGTTAGGTGGTTGTTGGAGGAAGAAAGTGCGCCACTCGTTATGCTGCGCCACTCGTTATGCAAGTACGTTAATCATGTTCAAATTGAAGATACGTGGGTATTACGTGGAGTCGCCTCCAAGAACACACTTCGTTGCCAGTTGAGGGGGAAGGGAAGGGGTTGGTGAGTTCAGATTCATGGATGTAACCGTGCCTTTAGTCGCATCGAAGCAATGTCCTCACAAGTCACTCATGTCTCTCTCCCTCTCCCTGTGCCGCACCGGGCATGTAGGTTGGTGGTGCCGGGACGGCTCCAGACTGCGCTCCTCGACCTGGCGGGCTCATCCGTTCCGGTCGCCGTCCTAGATGAGTATTGATGGCTCTCCCTGTTTGAGGGGTCGACTACCTTATGTGGTGTGTCATGTTCTTACCTCGCCTCACATAAGACAGTCATGTCACTTCCCAGCCATGTTCGCCCAGCTAAAAGTAGAGCTAATCACTGAGTTGCGCTGCGCTATCCGCACTTCTTTCAACTTCGACTCGTACATGTACATGTAACCGTCGCCAAACCGCTGAAGCACTGACTCCGGGACAACATCCTGGCCTTGTGCCATGTCAGCTCCGCAGCAGTCCCCGGCCGAGCTGGCCGCGCTCCTCAAGGCCTTCCCGGCGTGCGGAGTAAGTCCCGTCCTTCCTCGCCTACGCCCGGCGGCGACTCGACATCGCGCCCGTTGTGCTGACCATGCCCTGCCTCGCAGCTGAAATGCCTCGTCGAAGCCGTCACGACCCAGTCCAACTGCTCCAGCGCCGACCCTGCCTGTGCCTGCGCCAGCCAGCCCGTCCAGGCTCGCGCGAGCGCCTGCGTCCATGATGCATGCACCATCCCGGAGGCGCTCAGGACCCTGAAGCTGACCAACTCGCTGTGCGGTGTCACTTCGGAGCAGCAGCGGTCCCACACCATCATTGTCTACGTCTTCATCGTCATCACCGCCCTCCTGGTTATCCTGCGCTTCGCCGCCAGGCTGAGAACCCGCAACCCGCTGTGGTGGGACGACTATTTCGCGCTGGGTGCGTTTTTTATCGCCGGTGCTTTCACGGCGGTGTGCGGCGCGTGTATGTGAACTTTCCTCTCTATGCTCCAGGGTCAGTAAGTCGAAAGGTTTGCTGACCGTGATTTAGTCGACCGCTTTGGGGTTGGGCTTGATCTGTGGGCGGTGCCGGAGGAGAACCTGGTGCCCATCTTCAAGGTAACGTGTCGTATAGTATTCGGCCTTTTCCTCCGCGTAGACACACCAATGCTAACCCGGCGCCGTGTCTCAGCTTTTCTGGTCGGCCCTCCTCTTCTACGCCGTATTGCGAACTCTGGTCCGCGTCTCCATCTGCATGTTCCTGAGGCGCGGCCGCACATCATGCTCGGCCTGGTGCTCAACGTGGTCCTCAGCGTCACCTTCACCTTCTGCATCATCTTCCAGTGCACCCCCGTCTCCAACTTCTGGACCGGCTGGGGCGGCCGGCTCGAGGGCGGCCACTGCATCGACCAGTGGGCCGTATTCGTCACCGCCGGCGTCCTCACCACCCTGCTCGACATCTACGCCATCGTACTGCCCCTCCGCTGGGTGCTGCCGCTGCAGCTCTCCCGCGCGAAGAAGGCGATGACCACCGCCATGCTTTCGCTCGGCGTCTTGTGAGTACTCTACCCATACCCATCTCACCATTGAACGGCTACCCTTCCCGGGCCCCCTCCACAACCCTTTCCCCGCGATAGGCAGGTAGCTAACAGCCTGCCCGCCTCCAGCGTCCTCATCACCAGCGTGATGCGCATCGCCGCGCTCTACCGCTTCACGCACGACGCCAACGCCACCCGCAACCTGCCCGACATGGTCATCTGGGGCGGCCTCGAGCTCGACGTGGCCATCATCTGCGCGTGCATACCCAGCCTCGCGCCGCTGCTGCGGCCGCTGGGCGCGCGCCTCAAGCTGTGGTCCACGTGGGTCACCACCACCGCCCGGAGCAAGAGCAAGAGCAAGATCAAGAGCGGCTCCTCTTCCTCCTCCTCCGCCCCCGTCGTCAGGCCGGGGAGGTCCTCGCCCGGGAAAGCTTCATCCTCATCACCATCAACATCATTATCATCATCACCATCATCCGGGCATGAGCGGCGATGAACTTTCGGACGTCAAGCAGCCTCAGGCCGTGTACGAGTTCGACAACAAGCGCTGGAACGACGGCGGCGCGGCCTCCGTGGCCAAGTCCGAGTACGGTCACGATCACGTGTCGGATATCCGCCTGCCCACCACCATCCAGCAGTACAACGGCACCTTGTCCGGGTCCGAGGACAGCCTGGGCATGCAGCAGGATGTGAAGCTGTATGACAGACAGCGGGGGTTTGTGCAGGGGCATGTGTGGGCTTGACAATAGTCGATCTGAGGTTGTGCAGTACGATTCGGGTTTGTGTAAGGTATTATTTAAGTAGTCAGTGGAAGGGTCAATCATTGGTGGCAATGAGGGTTGATCACGGAACACTCACAGATCGGTGGACGACAGTTACGGTGCCACAGTGCTTTGAAACTAGTATGGTTCCATTTCCAAACTGACAAGCCTGGTGTTCCTCCACTGTGAAGCACCTGAGGCTATCCAAGCATCGAAGCAGCAAGCATAACCAGCCCGCCAAACCCATCCATACCCGCAGACCACTCATCCCACCGGGCGGCGCTCCAAGCCGACGACCCGCCTGCGTCACCGGGGCGGGCCACCTCCATCGGGGCGTGGCAGTCGACGAGCAGGCCGTTCTGCAGCTTGACGAGCTCGCCGCTGGTCGCCAGTCCAAAGTCGACTTGAGCCTCGGCGTCCTTCTCGCTCTCTGCCCGCCAGCTGGCCTCGTCGGCGGCTTCCCAGAGCGGCCTCTTGGCCGGCAGCGGCGCCAGCAGCAGCTGCGACTCGTGCAGGGAGCACATGTTGGCCGGCTCGAAGAAGACGAGCAGGTTGAGGATCTGGTAGATCACGCACAGTCTGGGTGGGTGAGTCTAAGTCAGCATTGCGCATGAACCAGCTAATTAGTGCGGCGGGAGGAAATGTCAAACCTGCGCCTGGATTCCTCAAAGATCCAGTCTTTCCAGGTAAGCTCTCGTCCATTGCTGCTTGGTGTCATCTCTGGGGTGTTGAGATGGGAGGAGATTGCCTACGGGTTGCCATTAGTGACGCCCCTGTCATGGACAGACGCAAACGAGGGGCCGAGCTTACAGCGACGGCAGCGACCATGAGATAGTCAAAGTTATTGTGCTCAGTCTGGCCCTCGTCAAGCCTGAGGATGAGGTAGACGCAGAGCGCCTGGAGAGCAGCAAGCCACTTCCATCTGTTCCACGTGGAGTTCTATAGTAAAGACGCGTGTTAGCTCCGAGCCAATGTGCACTCAGCGCCCGAATTCAGGGCACTAAAGACCTGCGACATGGGTCTCATACCTCAGCGCAGAATCTCTCGCACTCCATGCGCACGTTCCTCCAGAACAGCTTCCGACTCCCCGCAACTCGGCTGTTGAGCATATGCATGAGACTGATGCAGTTGTGCAGCGGCTCCAGGTCGTCGTCGTTGTCGGCGATTGGAGAGAACAGCAGGCGCGGGTGAATGAAGGGTGGCAGGGTGGTGTGGCGCAGCATCATCACCGGGAAGGACCGGAGCGTGTGGAGGATGAAGCCGGCGGTCTTCTGCATCCCGGTTTCATGCCGCACTCGCTGGACGAGCGTGGGCCCGAGGACGCGCGACGGCTGCCTTGTTAAGGGCAGAGCGGAGGAGACGGGCATAGTTTGATGGAGGAGTTGCAACGTGTTATCCGTGGAAGACGTCGACGCCTGAAGCAGAGGAGGAGCCAGGGAGGCCAGGAAGGGCGCCATCGAGTCACTGGCCTGGGTGAACGCGAAGGCTGAGGAGAGCGAGTCGCTACCGACGTTCGGGAGGGGCGGGTTGAAGAAGTCGGCCTGGTCAATCACGGCATTATCCCAGCCGAAATAAATTTCTCCGAAATTCGCTGAAGCGACGGTCTCTTCAAACGGGATGCTCGAAGTATCCGAGACGAACGAAGACGCGGTGTCTTGCTGTTGCCGAGGTGTATCTAGGGTCAATTGATCCCCCGAAGCTCTGCCTCCCGCGCTGCGAGGCGCGGTAGCCGGATAGTGACATTCAATCGACCTGGCAACGCACCCGGAGCACGAGGGTCTCTTGCTGTCGCAACGGGCTTTGCGTCTGGCGCAAGCCGCACAGGACCAACGGCGGGTGGGGGTGTCGGCCTTCCGAGACCGACAGTAATAGCCATGCCTCTTGAGCGAGGCCTCTGATTAACGATAAATGGCAAGGTTAACCGAAAGCCATTGTAGCCTGGGGCTGAGGAGTGACGGGGCGGAGCAACTTGAACTCACGCTTGTCGAAGGGCTTGTTGCATCGCCCACACCGTAGGACCGGGTCTGCCATTCCAGATCGGTGTGACGAGGGCTGATGAACTTGTGACATTCGGTTCAGTGTGTAATATGCTCAAACTGTGCTATGCGTGCCCTTGAGCAGATGGCTGAGTGGCGCGCTCTCGCTCACTGAGGGCGTGTGGGAGAACCGAATGGAAGGTCGTGATCCTTGGCAAGCCCAGTTTGAGGTTTGAGGGAATGTTTCAGCGCATCCTGTAAACACAAGTTCCGGTTCGAAAGTTGGCCAAAGAAGGTCCGAAGCTGGCGAAGCTGGGAACGCCATGCGGACAAGGGTTAAGGTTGACTGTTACTCGACTCCGGAAGCGCACCCCAATTACTAATGACCTGCGACGTCAGAAGTCCGGAACAGGTAAGGTGCCATATCTGTCTCGGGCGGAACAAATTGTAGTCGGAACAAATTGTATTGGGAACAAATTGTAGTCGGAACACTTTGAATCGCCCACGCTACCATCGCATCGCCGTCTGACAAACTCGAACTCGACGGCCGCATGTTCGCATTGCAAACAAGTTCAAATGCAAGACGGAAACCATGGCCCCACAAGATGTACCGCTCCGTATAGTTAGGCCTTCGGGCTGCTATAAGACTGCTCGTCGACTCTTCGAACCATGACACTCTGGCTGTCCATCGCATATCAAATCAAACCACTCTAGACTCCTGACAAAGATCCAAAGTCATCTCTTATAACTCAATCCCGTCTCAATCTTTACGCAGCTCCGACCCTCAAAACTCTTCGTCACCATGGCTGCTCCTTTCCCCTCCCCAACCAAGACATATCACAACACCACCTACGATTCGCTCTCTCCCACGCGCCCTGAGCTGTCCGCCAAGGGCAAGACAGTCCTGATCACCGGCGGCGGCACCGGCATCGGCGCCGAGACAGCCCGCTACTTCGCGCTCGCCGGCGCGTCGCGCATCGCCCTGCTCGGCCGCCGGGAGAAGCCGCTCCTCGAGACCAAGGCCGCCATCCAGCACGAGGTCCCCGGCGTCGACATCTTCGTCGCCCCGACCGACGTGACCAAGAAAACCCAAGTCGACGCCGCCTTCGCCGGCTTCCTCCCCGACGGCGCCAAGCTCGACGTCGTGGTCAGCGGCGCGGCCGTCACGGGGCCTGTTGACCCGATCGACGTCGTCGACCCGGACCGGTTGCTCGACACGGTCGACCAGAACCTCCGCGGCGCGCTGTATGTCGCGCAGGCCTTCCTGCGCCACGCCGTCCCCAACGCCGTGGCCGTTAACATCTCGTCGTCGGCCGCACATCTGAGCTTCGGCGCCGGCTTCGCGGCCTACAGCACCGCCAAGATGGCTTGCGTGCGCCTCTGGGACTCCGTCGCCGCGGCGAAGCCGGAGTTGAGCGTCTTCCATATCCAGCCGGGCGTTGTGGACACGGATATGAATAGGGAGGTGGGCGGTGTCAAGGCTATTGGGCATGAAGATCATGGTGAGTGGCTGTGGTCGATCATCATATTCATAGGCAACCAGGCTGACTTTGAATCTCATTAGTGTCCCTGCCCGCAAGTTTCAACCTTTGGCTCGCGAGTCCAGAGAGTCGTTTCCTGAAGGGCAAGTTCCTGTGGGCCAACTGGGATGTGGAGGAGCTCAAGGCCCGCAGAGAGGAGCTGCAGTCGACGACCCAGCTGAACATTCAGCTGGGCGGGTGGCCGTTTGGCGATGCGAGCTTCAAGGCGCAGTGGAAGGACTAATTAGGCGCGGGCAGGCTTTCCTGGTCTTAGATTTTGCATGTTCTATCTACATAGAGAATAGATTTCTAGATGCGTATCCTTGCGATGCACAAACAAATCGAAGGCCCATGCCATACGAAATCTGGAACAGACAGGATTGAATCCGTCGAGACTCCCCACCGTTACCACGTTCTATTCGGGTCAAATATCCACCTCAGACAGTTGTTCCCGCCGTAGCCGCCCTGCTTGCCGTCCTCGCCGCCGCAGTTGCAGCTGTCGACGGGTGTTTTGAGGTACCGCAGACACTCGTCAAAGTTGTAAGTCCACGTGCACCCCTCCTTGACCTCAAACATCCAGTGGATTTCCTCGTTCCCGCTGAACGGCTCGGTGTCCTGGTCCAGGAAGGGCCCCACCAGCTCGCCGCCGTCGCGCTTTCGGCGCTGGATCCCGTTGCGGTACGCGATCTTGTCGCACGCGGACCTGCGCCCGTTCTGCAGCCGGATGTTGCTCATCTTCTGCCCGCTGTTGAAGCAGTGGATCTTGTTCGTGTTTGGGTCGGCGCGCTGCAGCGTCGGCGTCGTGGGTACCGCGCTTGTCGTGGTGGACGTCTCCGGACGCTCGTACAGCACCAGCTCGCCCTAGAAGGTGCCGTTGCCCGTGATCTGCGGCACGTCCCAGCCCCAGCCGAAGCCGTCGCCGATGGGCACCTGGCCGAGGCCTGGGCCGCCGTACCCCGGGCAGTCCGTCACGATGTCGAGGTCCCAGTAGCTGGGGTTCTGGGCGGCCTGCCGGCACAGCCACTCCTTGGCCTTCTCCTCGATCTCGGCGTTAGGGTCGTTGGCCGCGGCGCGCGCCACCAGCGCCTTGGCCGACCAGGCGCCCTTTTGCGGGGGCGCCGCGCCGGGTCCGATGGATGGCGGGGGCGTCGGGAAGGGCCCCGTCGGGCTGGCCGTCGAGTACTTGCCGTCCGGACCAGTATACACGACGACCGGCCAGTTGCTGGTCGTGGAGGGGACGGGCCAGACGGTGCCGAAGGCGGTGCGACGCTTCAGGCCCCCGCCGCCGGCAGCACCACCTTAGGCCAGCGTCATGATCTCGAAGCCCAGCTTGGACAGCGTCATGGGCGGCACCGTGATGGTGCTCGTCCAGGCGTCCTTGCTGACCGTCATGAGCGGGAAATTGACGACCGAGGTGGCTCCCGTGTAGGGGGCAGCTTGACCTTGCAGGGCGGCACGCACGAGAACTCGGGTTCGTCCATGTTCCAGATGTCCGGATGGACCCAGATGATGTCGTTGAACTGAGCGCCGTCGCTGGCAACGTCCAGGACCGAGATTTGGGACCAAAAGGGGTGCGCATCCACGTTGAGGTTGTCCTTGGCCAGGATGCCCTGACCCTCCATGACGGCCATGTATTTGGTGCCGATAGTGACGAGGTTCTGGATCCGCACGCTGGCGTGGTTGCCTTACAGCAGCACCATGGCCTTCTAGCATGCCTGCCCGTCGATGCAGTCCTGGGTGTAGGTCGAAAACCACGAGTAGAGGCCGGCGCTTGTGATGAGGACGTCCTGGCAGCCGCGCATGATCACGCCCCAGGACTCGTCGCAGCCGGTGAACTCGTTGTTATTGCCAGAGCCACAGTTGTAGCTGGAATCGCCTGGGAACTTGCCCACAGCGCTGGCGGACGGAGCGGGAGGCGGCGGGGTGGGCTGGTAGTAGGGCGACTCGGTCTGGATCATGGTGGTGAAGATGTTGGAGGCGTTGTGGAAGTTGTACTGGTAGTAGACAGCGTGCTCCGACGCCGTGGCATACAGTCAGACGGGCGCGGTGCTCTCGATCAAGAAGCCACGGGCCACATAGACTGAGTTCTGCACCATGGTGTTGTTGGCGTCCACAAGATCCGGATCGTCAATCATGTGGTCGGCCACCCACAGCCACATGTTCTCGAAATAGCCCGACGCGCCCGGCTTGAGATGCAGCATCAGGCTGCCGGCGTTGCAGCCCGGCGCAATGCCCGAGGTCAGGGCCGGACACTCGGCCGGCGTCAGAGCGGTGCCGGTAGCACCGCCAATCCGGACGTGGCAGTCCCAAAGGGCAGCTGAGCCCTTAGCATCGGCGGCCATATTCCACTCGAGAAGAACAGCACCAGCCGTCGGCCCTTTCGTCGTAAAGAACAGATCCTGCATCTCCACGTTGCCCACCTGGCCCGGGGTCGCGCCCACACGCACCATGACCTTCGGATTGTTCGCGTCGGAGAAGGCGGGTCCGAAGGCCACGAACTGTGACCCGGTTTCGCCGACGATCTTGGCGCCAGGCGGCACGACCACGGTGTCGGTCAGGATGTACGAGCCGGCGTCCACAAAGAGGATCTTGCCCTGGCTGGAGTAGAGCGCGTTTTGAACCGCAGCGGTGTCGTCCTTCACCCCGTCGCACACCGCGCCAAAGTCCTTGCTGTGGACAAAGTCGCCCACGGGGCGCTCTTCGTACTGCAGCTTGGGGCGCTCAAAGTAGTTGCCCGACGAGTCGACGAGCCCGCTCTCCCGGCGATACCGCCCCACCTTGCCGCCGGTCGAGAAAGAGCGTGCGCTGGCCGAGCCGGCGTACACGGGGCCTAGCACCCACTGGTCGATGAGCGACTGGCTGGCCCCCGAAAGGTGCGTCTTGCCGCTGCTGTCGGCCACGACGACCGGCACGGCCGAGAGGGCCACGTTCTCGAGCACCAGGCCCGTGGTGCGCGAGCCTACGGCAGCCGAGGGGGCGGACATGAGGACGGCGGTGCCGACATTGGTGAAGGAAGAATCCAAGATGGACGCCGAGCCGACGGAGCCGGACGGGTCCTTGGCCACGAAGCGGAAGCCGACCTTCACGTTGGCCACCGTGTCGGACTTCCACACCAAGCCCCAATCCCAGAACACATAGACGGCCGTGTCGCAGCCGTCGAAACGCAGGCGTTGCGCTGTAAACTGCTGGGCACCGCCGTAGAGCCCGACGTCGCCGCCGCTGAAAACCACGTCTGAGATCTGACCGCCGCTGCCGTTCTCGGCGTACATGCCCTTGGAGTCCGGCCCGGCGCGCAGCTCCACGTTCTGCAGGCTCGTCGCCTGCGCAACTTGGTAGTGCAAGCACGCCGTGGTCTCGCCGGCCGGGGCGTTGCGCACATCAATGATCACATTGCGGATTTGGCGGTAAAAGTTGGCCGTGTTGATGTACCACTGCTGGTCGCCTCCGTCAAGTCCGACCCCGCCGCCGGTGTACTCGTCCGCGGACAGCACGCCCAGACTAACAAAAGACGACGAAGCAATAATCACGGGCCGATTCAGAACGTCGCCGATCACCTGCGTGCCAAAAGGTAGGGGGATGGTGCTCGAGACGAAATAGGTGCCAGGGGGGAAGTACACAATGGCGTTCTTCGTCGTGGACCCGTTGCACTTCTCGCCGCACCGCCGGCCGTCATTCATGGCCTTTTTGATGGCGGCCGCGTCGTCGGTCACGCCTTTTCCGGTAGCGCCGTAATCGAGCACGTTGCGGAAGACCTTGTACGTCGGGTGGTTGCCCCAGGGGACGGTGCCTCTGCGCGCGATGGTCTCCATCCAGTACGTGCCTCGGACAGGGGCCCGGCGCTTGACGCCGCTCGAGCTCGAGTTGGACGGAACAGGATGGGTGGCTCCCGGGTTCACCCACTCGGGTGGTGCCACGGCCTCAGTCTCGGCCACGAGGGCCGCGGCCCAGGCGATCTCGTCTGTGATTTCGAGGAGCGGAGGAGGTGCCGCGTCGTCATCTCCTCGCTTGTTGTTGTTGCTGTTGGGCACCGCCGGAGCGCCGCCGATTACGGTGCCGGGCTTGAGACGGTACTGGTTGCGCGCCGGATTGGCCAGCCGCGCCTTGTTGCGCTCGGCCGAGGCAGCGATGGCATCGGCAACGATGCTCCGGGCCTTGGCGAGGTCGGCCGCGGACGCAGTCTTCAGCAGCGGCTTGCCATCCGTGGAGTTAGACGTGACTTGGCGTTTGGAAACGAGCTTGGAAGTTTTGGCTCTGGCAGAGTCAGAGTGCGGCGCCGTCACGCGGCTGCTGAGGTCGGCGGAAAACCCGGCAGCCCGCATCCTGATGCCCCCAGCCCGCCCAGCAGGTCCGGCTCAGCCACCACGGACTCATTTACGTGCGCGGGGATGTCGATGCGGCGGGCGTTGCTAGCCATCATGCGCTGGTACTTCTGCTCCGGGGTGAGCGTGCTGCGTCCGGGCCGCAACCGGGGCGTGCGTGCCGGTTCGTCCGGGTTGTTGGCTAGTGCTTCCTCCCTCTTGGCCTGGGGCACTTCGTTGAAATCCCTATCGACACCTAGGTCGTCATCCCACGTGAAGATGGTGGCCGCCGAGCCCGTCGGGCCGATGTTGAAGGCGGCAAAGCCGAAAAAGGCCACGTTTTGCTGCGGCTGGGTCGGGTTGTGCCACGGGAACTCGGCGTTGCGGCGCGAGATGAGGCCCAGCAGCTCCCGGCGCACCTCCCCGTGCGACAGGCCCTGCCATTTCTGCTCGGCCTTGACGGGGACGCCCCCGGTGTTGGAGTTGGGATCGATGCACGAGAGGCCGGCGCAAAAGGTGTTGGCCGGCGAGTTGCCGTTCCAGCCGTTGCCGCCCTCGACTCACGTGGCCGGCGGGAACTCATCGCACGAGTAGCGCATCTGCGAGTAGCGCGTGATCTGGTTCTGCGCGTTGCGCTCGTGCATGACCATGTTCTCGTTGGTGCCCGGCTCCAGCGCCGTCGTCCACCACGGCCCGTCGTGCCGCCACAGCGTCTGCTGGCCGGCCTCGGGGCAGGCGTACGAGTTCTTCCACCCGTTCGGGCACGACGCCTCGCGGCGGTAGAACTTGCGCGACTTGGCATCCCCCGACGGCACGTCGGCGCTGTCAAAGTCGTACGTGTACGTGCCCGGCTCGATCGTCGTTCCGGGATGCAGGGCCTGCCCCCGCGCCGTGGCCATGAAGTTGTTGACGTTCTGGCAGATGTTGGTCATGTAGTGGCAGTTGTAGTAGAGCGTGATTCTCTCCTTCTGAGTGTCAATGACGGGCCGATAGGGCGTCTGGCTGTCCTCCACCGGTCGGCTGCATTGGGTTGCTGGTCAGCACCGCATCTGGCCCCCCCCCTTTGTCGACGGGGAGAACCCGGACTCACTACTGGTAGCCATCGTAGTATGTGTTGTCGTCGGATCTCTTATGCGCAGTGGGACAAAGTTCTGGACGTATTGGGCCGCTGCCCCGAAGCTGGTGTCCAAGGCGAGCAGGGCCAGCAGCCACATGGCACGGTGCAGGAACAGCAACGCCATGGTCAAGGTGCCAGGCAGACTGTTGCTGAAAACGAGTGAAAGAAGGCACCGGCCGCGATGGAGCGGGTGACCCTTGGGCTGCTTGCCGTGGTAGGTCGCCTTATATCCATGTCGCCGAGCTCGCAGCCCTGCTGCCTTCCGCCGGCCCGCCTCCCCGCCCAGGCAGCATGGTCGTCGTTCTGTCGAACATCATGTCCCCGGACGTCCCGAGTCTCCCGACTCCATCTGAGCCTTCTCCTGCCCCGGTCCCGTCTCGCCGCGGACCGCGCTGGGTCGCAACACTATGGAGTTGCCCTTGCATGGTCTGTTGGGGGCCGAATGGAACATTTCCGCTCGCGAGTCACTCACAATACACGTGCGAGGAATTTCTCCACGCCTTATATCATCAGAACATGAACTTGAAATCCCGACCGTGGGCCACCAGAGCGGTCCTGCTGTGAGTGCCCGCGAGTTGACCCGTAACTCCCAGGCAGACCAGGCAGCCATGAAGTCCCTCCACCGCAATGGCGTGCTCCGGCTCGCCGTCGTTTTGCTCCCTCTTGCTCCAAGTTTGGTGTCGACCCAGGACGAGTCCGACTGTCAGCCGTACCGATGGGATTTTGGCGGGCTCAAGATGCGCGAAGATCCCGCCGACCCGTTGCCCACTCAGGGAACGCCCATCCCAGTCGCCTTGGGCGAGGTCAACTGCCGGTACTGGACGACCACGCCCGCCGAGGTCAACTACTACACTTGTTCGCAGATGGCGCAGCGCTACAGCATCTCCAACGACGTGCTCTTCAACCTGAATCCGGGCCTCGCGCGCGACTGCAGCAACGTGCAGCCGAAAACGGACTACTGCGTCCGGGGTTGTAAGTCATTCCTCCACCAAGAGACAAGACTGAGAGGCTGGAGCTGACCTGGTCAAAGTTATCGAGCCGGTCAGGGCCCTCAACGGCAAGTGCGGCCCTCCCAACAACAATGCCACCTGCTTGGGCACCGACAAGCAGTGCTGCAACTCGCAGACCTGGACCTGCGGCAACTCGACGGCCGACTGCGCTCCGGGTACGTGCTACGAAGGTGCCTGCGACGGCGATCTCATCTACAGCACCGATGGCACATGCGGCCAGGACCACGGCTTCCGCGTGTGCGCGAGCCGATGGGGCGACTGCTGCAGCATCGACGGCCGCTGCGGCACGTGGCCTGCGTACTGTGGCCTGTTCACGTGCCAGACCGGCGCCTGCGACATCTGGAAGAAGGACCAACAGCCCGAGGGCACCCCGTGGACCCCCGACGGCACCTGCGGCGGCGCCAAGGGCTACCGGTGCTCGGCCGATTGGGGACGCTGCTGCAACGTCAACGGAGTCTGCGGCGAGAACCCGGCCGACTGCTACGTCGAGCGTGGATGCCAGTCCGCGTTCGGAATCTGCGCCTCCAACTCCACGACCGGCCCCTCCACCAGTTCCCCTCCCGCCACCTCCACCACTGCCGCTCCCACCAGCTCTACCACCTCCGTGCCCCTCCCGACCCCGACAGACAGCTGCCGCGACGGCACCGGCGCCGGGGGGCTCGCCGGCCTCTGCTCGTGGGCCTGCGCCCACGGCTACTGCCCGGCCCCCTGTACCTGCACCCCCGGCACCCCCAGCGCCCTCCCGCCTCCGACCGGCATCTGCGGCTATGCCGTCCTGGACCTGCAGAACGAGCCGGGCTTCCCCGCGCTGTGCGACTTTGTGTGCTCGTACGCCGCCGGCTACTGCCCTGAGGAGGTATGCACCACCGTGCCCTACAGCAGACCGTCCCAGGTCACGTTTCTTTGTCCTTCTCGGCTGCTTGTGCCGCCTCCTTCTTCTCTCGTGCGCGTATCATCGCCGCAGCCCTTGCCATCATTCTCTCCATAGTCCTGCGGGTGCGCTCCTCATGCGAAAGTTTTTCACGAGGTGCAGAACTGGCCGCGGGCGGCTTCCTGTACCACCAGACCCACCGGTCCTCGTTACCGACATTCACATAGCCCTGTCCAAAGCGCACAACAGCCAACTTGTTCTCGAGGTCGGTTTCGGGCGGGTTCCTAACAACGCCCACGCCCCGGTCCCTCTGGAGTAGGGTGGTGCCCCGTTCGCTCTGGAGTACGGTGACCAGGATGGCGTCGCGCCTGGCCATCAGCCAGGGGTGCACGGCCGAGACAAACTCGTGCACGGTGAGGACCTCGCCCTGCGAGACGACTTGCAGCGAGGTATAGACCTCGCAGGCCCAGGGCCGCTTCTCCCCGCAGCACTCCACCACGTAGAGGTCCGGGTCGAGAGAGTCGTCGCCAGGACGCGGCCCCATGCGGCGCTGGCTCAAGTCAGGGACTTCGCGGCACCGGGCGTGCAGTGCGAGCCACGCCTGCTCCCACTCGTCGATGGTCAGGATTTTGACGGTGAGCGACGACACGGGCGGCTCTAGGAGGGGCGCGTGCGCCACCTCGGCGTGCGGGGTGCCGTCGGGGCCGATGTACGGCTCCATGACGGCGTCCGGCTCGTAGTATTGCGACGGCGCGACTTGGATGGCGCCCTCGAGCGGGCCGTTCAGCCTCCAGAAGAGCCGCTTGGCGGCGGTGGTGGTGTCCCGGAAGACATAGTCGCTGACGGGTATGACGGTGGGTGCCCGTGCCATGGAATCGGTGGCGGGTTCAATGTTGACGGGAGAGTCGGGCAATTGGGTGGATGTGTGGGAGAGAATTGTGTTTTTGAGGCGTCTTTGATTATTTTCTTGGGCGTGCGGGGTTCCTCCTTTGGGCGTGCTAAACGAGAAAGGAAATAAGGTAACCTTACCACTGGAGACCTTGTCTGGGTGTGTTGTCTCGCGTACCTAGCCTGCTACCATAACCCTTCAATCTCAGCCAGGGTCATTGTGTGATAACTGAAAAGCTGAATTGTTGTCGAGCGCAATAAGGCCGTCGAAGGCTTCCCCAATGTACGTAGTAGCACTCCAACAACGAGAGAGGAGGATGGCGAGTCGACAGATTCAGAAATTTATAGTAGAGGCATTCTCCGATCGACATCTGTTTTGATCTGGAAGCGGTGATCGAAAGGAATGGGAAATTGTAAACGAACCTAAAATGGAGGAGCAACGACACAAGGTGGCTGTGGTCGAGGCAGCGCGCCAGGCTGATAACCGATGTTACATGATCAAGATTAACGTGGCTACCCTGAATTATACACGCTCTAGTAGTACATCACAGATGATTCTTTTCACGTTACTAGTGAAAGGTAAATCCTTTGTCCTAAGATGCCTGGGCATTAGTGGCTCTATGCAGATGCCTCTCCTACTGAACCTGATTGTTGTTTCCTCTCTTATTGTCAGGCCATCTCACCTGATCAGGCTGAGCCGTAAACAAGCAGGCCATCGATGCTTGAATAGATACAGGTAGTAAGGCATGGGCGGGGCGCAGTGGCGTGACTGGATGCATCTGTTGAACTGAGTGGGTTCCTTGGCACCAAGATTCACGGACTGAGCACTGATGTTCAATGCGAGACTCTCAGCCAACACAGATCCATCACAATGACGCATCTCCCTGACATAACGTCATATCATGGCACACTGTCTCTATATAAGGGGGTAATTCCCTTGGGAGGATTAGAGAGGACAATTTGTTCCAAAAACAAGAAAGGGACATTCTGAAGCACCCTAACCCACTATCTTGATCCTTCATTTGTGTGGTCACTCTGGAATCGTGACTCCAATTCAAGCTTCATTTCATACCCAAGCTGTTCAATACCATTTGGTTGATCTAAGCTTACTTGAGCATGTAACTGTTGGCTGCCCAACATATCCGATGTAGCGTTATACGCCGTGAACCGAATGGTACCATACTCGTAATAAAAAAAAATAAAAATAAAAAAACCGTAAACGCCACTCGCTACTCGTCTCTCTCACGGCGGTCGGCTTCACCGGGCCAGCGCTCCTCCATCAGATCCTGGACCGCTTTCAGACAGGCCTTCTTGTCATAGCGCTCGAGGTCCGGCCAGCCATATGCCCGATATATGTCGGCCAGCACCAGCCTGCCCTCCAGGGGTCTTGCGTAGCACACCTTACGCGGGCTGACGGGGATATAGAACAGCTGCCGGAACAGGTCCTTGAAGAGTTCGAAGAAATCGGGGATGGCCCAGGCAACCGAGCCGGAGCGCCAATCGGCCTCATCGCCGGGTATGTCGTCAAACCCGTCGTACTCTTGGCCCATGACTGGCTCCCGAGGCGGACTCTCTTGAATGTCGCTGTGACACTCATACCAGTAGACTATACCGAGCTTGGTGTCGAGTAGGAACGCCGGGTTGTAGTAATCACCGTCCGTAACGGCGACCACGTGGGAGTATATATGCTGGGGGAGCTCGCGTTCGATTGTGAAGCCAACATCCCCGGCGGGCAGTTCACCGATGGAGACCTGGCGAGCAACGTCGCGCCAATCGGCAAACCGGCACATGGCGGCACCCTGGGCCTCACACTCGTTATTCGACTCGACGTATGGGAGATGGCGGAGTAGCGAGATGACTTCGTCCGTCTTGCCCAGGGCGCCGATGGTTTCGCGGCTGATTTCGGGCCAGCCCCCTTGGGGCGGCTCGGCGATGTACGACTCTTTGAGGTACATCCGAGTGAGGAAACGGTAGTACTCGCGAACGGCGGCGATGGTCGCCTCGCGTGAGTAAGTAGTCTCGTGAAGCTCGGGCATTTGGCCTGTTCCGGGAAGCCGCGGAAATGTAACTGGGCGAGCGAGGGTCTTGCTATCATCGAGAGTCGAGACTCGAGACGGAGTGGATGTAGGCGCCAAAGTCGAGGCCAAAGTTGGGGATTAGCCGTAGCTAAGAATAAATTCTTCATGGCGGATGCAACGCCAGATCAGACTGCACCCGGGCGCCCGGTGGATCCCTCCCTGTCTGCGCCGGGGGTTCTCTGCGTTTTGGCAGCAAATGGTTCTTCTTGGGGCTTCGAGCCCGCCATCCCCACCAGCCGCCAACAAGGGGGCTAGCCCCCGCGAATGGCCCAGATGTAGTGCAGGGGAGAATTTGTCGCTTCAAAGTTCCGTCATGGGCATGTCATTGGCAAGGACCTTGAAGTGGAAATGCTTGCTTGTTAGAGCCCTTGGAGGGCCCAGGGAAATTCCCTCTCATCATTTCTTCCCTAAGGAATCTGCCCCTCCCTCGAAGAGATGGCGTCTAGGACGGTCAAGCAGCTGAATCGGTGCCAGTGGGTTCGGCCAGTCCTGACCCAGGGGGGGGGGGGGGGGGGGGGGGGTGAGGGGGAAGAGTCAGATGCCGAGGACTGTTGGTGATGATATCCACCCGCAGGGACGCAGCCAGTCACGGTTACAGCCCTGGAAATTAGGTATGGTCGAAGCGGTTGCTTATAATTATGTCGAGGGTGTTGCTGGCCTCCCAGCGGCAGTCTTAGCAGAGCGTGCCCCTGTGGTCCAATGTTGATCATATCACCGTTCCTTTTCCGGTCCAGTTCTTGCCAAGTTCTTCCCACAATGCTACGGCCGATGAGGGCGCTCGCGGCATTCCTTGTTCTTCATGGGCCCTGTGTCGTGCGAGCTGCCCTGAACCTCGATAAAACCCAGGGTGTAGCCCCGGCAGGCGACGGTGATCCGTCGCCCGTCAGCGACCCTCGAGCCTACGACCCCCGTCAGCATGACTGCCTACTCCCTTGTGTCGACTACGCTAATATTTACAGCTGAACACCGTATTAGTCGGTTGACCGCCTTCGCCGCTGCGAGGAGCCCCTGTTGCTTCAGTTCTCGGTGACGCAGCCCCTGGACGACCCGGCGTCCACCATCTTGACATCCAACTTGGAAAGCACCCTCTCTGGATCATATGGTACTAGGCCAGCCCCTGAAAAACCACCCTGGATATTCTCTCCGTTATAGAGGCAAAGAAGGCCTCGCGGAAGGCGCAGAGGAACTCGAGCTTGCTCCTGTAGTTGATGTGCATTCGCATCAAGCCCTCGATCTGGCGACCATACGCCTGCTTCAGCGACCCAAAGCAGCCGACATCGAGAGGCTGGAGTTTCCTCGCGACACTGGTCCTATCCCCACGCAATCCCCAAAAGTGCTTCCCACGTTCAAACAGCTTCTTCGGGAGGTTGAGGTAGGTTTTGTGGATGTACCAGTCCGACCACAAGTCGAGAGACCGTATCCTTCGTGCTGAGGAGTACCACGGCACCACCAGCAACTGGTGCTGCGGAACGAGACGCTTGCCGGGCTCATCGAAGTTGACATAGAAGGCATGCACATGTAAGAACGCTGCATGTGCCGGGCCGCTGGCGCGCTCAACCTTGTCGATTCTGTACGCTCGCCAACCGCCTTCATCGCTGCTGTATATGGTCGAGCCGGCGTGGTATAAGAGATGGAGACGATCAAAAACGATCTTACCGCCGTCCGAGAAGCTGATGTCATGGTCCTTTGGCTCCGACTGGATGATATCCAAGGCCAACCGAGCGGGTCCGCTTGCGTCTGACTCCCTGCGCTACGAAAACTTGGTAAGATGTTAGCGAATCAATTCTGGGTTCGTAAGACGACCGGCATCCAGTTGGCCGCCCATATCCTATCCGACACCAAACTGGAACTCTCTGATGAGGAAAGGGCAAACAATCACAAAGGCGGGACGCCCCTTGATTTCCATCCACTCCAACACTTGCTCTCCAGTAGCCGTGTGCGGACCTTGAGGGAACGGTGGCTCGACGATTGCTTGCCTTCCTGGCATAGAATTGTCAGGCTAGATCCGGAAGATCGATCACTATATTTGTGCATGCTACACCCCGGCCGGCCGAGAGGGTCATCTTACAGAGCATGTCTCAAGAATGGGGAACCTGTTCGTGGTTCCTGAGGCAATGGGGCCTTCGGCGAGTGAACACAGGCCGGCCCTTGCTAGAGTCAAATCCCTCAGACGCGGAAGAAACTGGTCCATTGACGCTGATCATGTCCATGACATGAGAAAAGCCTTTGCCCGGGTCCGTTCCCGAGCTCGGCGTGAGCATCCTTGCTGGGTCGGTGGTCGTACTGCTCTCCTCGGATCCAAAGCGGACCTCCTCAAGCGAATCTCTGCTCGGCATTACTGCCCAGGTTTGAATTAATGTTCGCCAAAGCTTTTCCACAAACCCCATCGTAAGAGCTTTGAACGTTGGTTGATGCCTTACGGGAAGGTTGGGGGCAGTAAGTGCAGTCATGGTGTGAAAGTAGTGCTCAAAGGGTCAGTACATGTATGGTCAGGGTAAGAACGCGAGAGTGGAACTGGATCACCCCGTTCCAAGCCATCAGGCCAGGCCTATTTCTCTGTGTATATGTGATGGTCCACATCGCTGGGGGCCTCCCCCCCGCCCCCAACCACCCCTTCCTCTCTTTACTTCACTCTTCCCTCTTCCGCTGTAACGGTCCCAGGAGTATATTGCAACTAGCTGGTGACGACTCTGCGAGTTTGTCTCGAATGGAGAGAGAAGAAGAAAAAGAGTGAAAGACTATGCAAGATATCTGCCGTCTTATACCTCCACATCCTTGGCCTGTGCGCCGATATCGAATAAGATAGAAGTCCACCGAATCTCGAGTCTTGGCCGAGAGTTTGCCGAGGCCTTTACGGGCTCAGCCCGTTACACCAAGGATGACTTACAACGGCGCCAATTCTCTGATTGCGAGTGTGATCTTGAGCGAATTAGCCACTTATGTTATTTGGGCTTGCTTCAGTAAAAGCTAGAGTTTTAAGTTTCCTGATGCAAAGGGGCGGTGGCAGTTTAGTTGTAGAATCTCAGTATAATTGCAGTAGGTACCGGCACAACCAAGACAACGCTTTCGGTATTATCAGGCAGGTCCACTCTGTCATTTTTACAAATTAGGAAACGAATATATAGAAAGGATATGAAGAGAGGGAAGGAAAGGAAGCTGGCCAAGGGCGGAAGCAGGCAACACTCTATGACAAGCTGGATAATGATTCCTCACCGCGACATGGTGGTCAGGAAAACCGGTGTATGAAATCCAACAGGCTAAAAATAGTACCTGGCTGATTTAGTAAGAATATAAGAGACTACTGAAAGAAATATGGCGAGGATAGAGCGAGAAAGAGGGTGTCACAGGTGGGCGCAACTGACCACTGCGTAAAAGAGGGACCGTGGTTCGAACTGTCCAGTCGAACCAGGAGTTGCGCACATGAACCTCACACTGTCACGACCCGTGACAACTACGTCTCTCTCCCTGGTCTAATCTCCGCTGTATCCTTTATGCTGTGCCTAGCTCATCGAACTGAGCGTTGTGTGCGCGGAGCTAGAGAACATGCTTCTAGTGCTGGTCGCCGTCGCTGTACTTGCTTATGTTCGCCTTGGCGGGGTCGTTCGTAATAGGAACCTAGGCCGCCTCCATTCTGCCGTCCTACCACGTCAGGTTCATAGGCCACTTGTTAAGCCTCCCCTCTGCCTATGCGAGGCATAGCGTGCCTGAGACCGTGCTGTCCCTATCGCTGAACTTTCCGCTGTCCTAGAAGGGAATGTCGATGCACCTGCCTATGCCGATCAGCCATGTCTTGACTGCGGTAATCAGATGGCCGATCCGCTCGTTCCTCTCCTCGTCGTTTTGGATGCGCAACTTTTCGTCGTTTTTGGCACGACCGGCCAGACTACTGATCCCATCGAGCATAAGGACCTCGTCTTTAGCCTCGTAGCGAGTGATGTCGGCCACCGACCATATGCCGTCCTGGCAGGGTTCTGCATCTATCTACCTAAGTAGATTTCGAATCTACTAGTGGATAGAAAGCAGTGCTTTCAATCCACTCTATGCTGCCTGTTGCCAAGCTTCTATCTACTCTACCCGAACCTCATCTGCGTAGATTCAAAGTGGGTAGATTGCCAAGTGATTACTAATATCTGGGCAGTTTAACAGAGTACCTCGCAAAGCCTTCTCGAGGCTGCCCCAGCCACCATCCCGGATTCGGTCTTCAGTATCTCACCCGGGCCCTCCAGGACCAGCCAGAACAAGGCCTCTCACTGATCGGGCCATGGCCGCTAAGAAGAGAGGGCGTGAGTGGGCAGCTGAGGCAGAGAAGATGGTACGTGGTCTCTGGGAACAGCAATATCGAGATCGAGACTCCGATCCTCGATGGAGCGTGTCATCTCCGACCTCCCAAGATATGGATCACTCGGATCTTGATGAGGACGAGCGAGCCATCCACTGAAAACGCAACCTCAGCACGATTAGCAGTAGGCCGTCGTCTTCACAAACGGTGGATGAACTAGATCGTTGGCTTCTCTCAATCCAGGGGAGATACCTTGACCCAAAGGCCGACCCCATCAAGTACTGGGTGGACCGCCGATTCGAATATCCCTGATTGGCAAAGATGACCTTTGACGTGCTCAACGTCCCGCCGATGGCAGCCGAGTGTGAAGGAATATTTTCCGCTGCTGGCTGCCTGGTAACGACACGACGGACGCGGCTGAGGACTGACGTGATCTCTGCCGCCCAGACGATTAGATCGTGGGTGAAAGCCGGATTGACGGATGATTATGATGGAATCGCCCTCCGAGAGGCAGGCATTAAGGCGCTTGAGGATGAGATATTGCTTCAAATTGAAGGTGGCATAGCATGAGGTGACCGGCTTGTGGCTAGGTAGAAATGTTCAGCAGTCGTGAGCGTCCTGTTATCGGAACATCTTTCATCCGCTAAGCATGAACAATCTACGTGAATGGTATCTACGTTGATAGAATAGCTCTCTATTCTATCAACTCTATCTCAGTCCAGCTGACTAATCCATCTATTCTATCTACTTCAAGGGTCGCGTGGGTAGAAGTGGATAGATGCAGAACCCTGCGTCCTGGTGCTGGTAGAAGAGAAAACCCTTGTCGACGTCGTAGGGCGGAAAAGCTGCGATGTCTCTGTCCTATACGTCGAAGATCGCAAGGATGAGGTGAGCAAAACTCCTGTGGAATTTCACAGGCGAAGTCAAGTTGTTGGCTTCCCAAGAAGTCAAAACACACGTGGAAGATATGTCTCATTTCCAGGGCCATCGCCCAGTCCATGCGGCCTTCTTGCCGTTCCAGCTCCTGAAGACCAACTGGCATGGCCCCCATATAATGGGTTGAAAATACCGAGGGACTGTGTACATTACGAGATGTCCAGAACTTGGCAAGGACGGACTTAGCCACTCTCCGAATTCTCGCCGAGCCCTACAAACCCCAACTTGGCGAGCTGCAGGTCTCAAGAATAACTATCGTCGAGTCCGCTCGGATATCAATCACCCGGACTTCGCTGATCTACGCTGCAAATCCCGACTCCAGGCTTACTCCCCGCATTTCGCTTTCCATGGACCCCGCATAGATCGGAGGAAGCAACCCCAAAGAGACCTTGGCATGGCTGGATGGTCGTGCCGTTCATGCAGGTCTGGAGTACCGGCATTTCCATTCGTCGCCCTTGCCAACTGGACTGAATCCTTCGGCTTGCGCCAGCATAATCACATGCAGGCTCGAGATCACAAAACGGCTTCGATCTACAGCCAACATATCACAGGGCGTTGTCAAGAAGGATAGTGACGGTGTATTATTAAAGCCATGCCTTGTCCAGCGTCTTGCCGAGTGTTCAGGATGACCACCCAACAAGGAGACAATGGCCATCATCGGTGCCAGAGAAGAACACGTCGACCCCCGGCTCACGCGCATTGCGCAGGCCGACACGAAGCCATGGTACAAGAAACCCAACTTGCGATTCCTGTACCTCATCCTCGTCCCTACGGGGCTGGGCGTGGAGTGGACTTCGGGCTTCGACTCGTCCATGATGAACAGTCTGCAAGCGGTCAAGTCCTGGGTTGACTGTGCGTTCTCCTTCTACCCCCCTGAGACCCTGAGAACCACGATCTTCGAACTGACCAATTCCAGACTTTGACAACCCGACCTCGAGTCGCCTCGGCCTGCTCAACGCCATGTACTCGCTCGGGGCGCTGATGGCGATCCCCTTCATCCCGACCGTCTCCCAATACCTCGGGCGGCGCAAGACCATCGTGGCGGCCTCGCTCGTCATGTGCATGGGCGCGGGCCTGCAGGCCGGGGCGCGCAACTCGGACATGTTCCTGGCGTCGCGCTGGGTGCTGGGCTTCGGAATCCCCTTCGCCATCGTCAACGCCTCGGCCATGATTGGCGAGCTGTCGTACGCCAACGAGCGCGCCGTCATGACATCGCTTTTCAATGCTTCTTGGTTTGTGGGCGCCATCATCGCCGCGGGGACGACGTACGGCACGTTCCAGATGCAGTCTACCTGGGCCTGGCGCCTGCCCAGCCTGCTGCAGCTCGTCCCGAGCTTTTTCCAGATTGCCTTCATGTACTGGTGTCCCGAGTCCCCACGCTGGCTGGTGTCGAAGGACCGGGGCGACGAGGCGTTTGCGATCTTGCAGAAATACCACAGCGAGGGCGAGGACGGGGATGAGTTTGTCCGACTCGAGTACGCGCAGATCCAGTCGACGATTGCGCAGGAGAAGGAGCTGGAGAGATCGTTTGTGTGGGCCGATGTGGTGCGCGATCCGCCTATGCGGAGACGGTTCATGATTGCGGCGATTGTCGGCTTCTTCACCCAGTGGAGTGGCAACGGCCTGCTGAGCTTCTACATGAAGAAGATCCTGGCGCTCGTGGGTATCACGGACGACAGGACGGTGCAGAAGATCATCCTCAGCAATACCTGCTGGGGCCTCATCAACGCCGTGCCCATCGCCCTCATCGCACCGCGGTTTCCGAGGAGGCACATGTTCCTGACCTGCACCATCGGCACAGCCGTCGTGTACACGGTCTGGACCATTGCGAGCGCGAGGTCGGCCATTGAGAACTCGGCACGAGCGGCAATTCCGGTCCTGGTGTTCATCTATGTGTATTCTCCGTGAGTGACCTTCCTCGCGGCTTCTGCCGCGAGCACGATGTTCACTGGTTAACATCATCGTAGGTTCTACAACATTGGCTGGAACGCTCTTGCATACACGTACATGGTCGAGATCTTTCCCTTCCAGCAGCGCTCCAAGGGCATCGCAATTGAGCAGCTCACGGTGCGGTTTGCCGTCTTCTTCAACACGTACGTCAACCCTGTCGCGCTCGACGCCATCGGCTGGAAGTATTACATTGTCTATTGCGTGTGGATTCTGGTTGAGATTGCGACGGTGTACTTGCTGTTTCCCGAGACGCACAACCGCACCCTCGAGGAGCTCAGCTTCATCTTTGAGGGCAAGGCGGTCCAGGACAAGGTGCAGCATAACATGGACAAGGTGCTTCAGGTTGAGCTGGAGCATGTCCCGCAGCGGTCACCGAAAGATAGCGGGCTCGCGGTTGAGCAAAGGGCTTGATCACGATACGCTTAATCTCAGGCTTCGACAGTGGCCGGCACTTTGTGGCTTCTTCGATGCGGTTCCTTGGAAATCAAGGGGACAGAGCTTACCCAAGTAATTGGGGGTTGGACAATGCTTCAAGCTCACTTTCACATTTATATGAGATGAAGGCAAGTTCCTTATCACTTGATATTTCAGGTGCTTCGGGTTTGTCCTAGTCCAGCTCCCAGGGCTATCACGCAGGTAGGTAAGAGGTGAGGTACTCTCACCTCTACCTCGCCACTTACCAAGTATGTACCGTCCAATCCAGAACATTACTGGCGTATACTTATCATTGATCTACTGTCTGCCTGGGCGTTTACCGCCACCTTAGCAGAGATTACATCCCCCTTTTTAAATTCCAGCAGTATCGGGTACAACTTCACAAATGCCTCGTACACATCTTCCTCTCTCTTGGCGCCCGTCAATAACGCCTTGCCCGTGGTAGACACCAGGCACTTGACCTGGGGCCGGACAACCGTGTACACCAGGCCCGGGAACAGCTCAGGCTCATACTTAACCGACTGCCGATACAAGCGCTCGATGCCCTCGAGGCGGATGTGAAAGCCGCACGAGACGGACGTGACGAAATTCTGGACCTTGAAGTCGCGGGACTTTGACTGAAAGCCGCATTTTTGCGGGGCGCGCGCGTGCCGCGGGGCGGCCAGGCGCGCCAGGAGCACAGACTTGGCCCCTGTGACGACATGCGGCCGGAGCTGAAGACGAGCGTCGTGGTGCTCGGATCGCGGATGCGCATGATGACGGCCTGGAACTCTTTTGCGGTTGTACTCGACGCTGTCGGCCGTTGACGGTGGTTATGACGTTTTGGATCTGCGGCATGGGCCAGTTGGGCCGGATGCGGTCCCGCCAGGGCTCTGGTGACTGGTATTGCGGCGGCGGCTCTGGGGACGAGATTGACTGTGAGCGGATCTGCCTTGAAGGGGGCATACTCACTGTTTGTTTCTTCAGTCTGTTCAGTAAGGCAGTCTGCTACTGTTGTTGGAGTTGTGTTCTTCGCTCTCTGAGACAAAAGTCCGCTTGAGACCTTATGTCTGTTCAGAGATGGATTGGATTAGGAGCAGGGGCATGTCCAATGTGTGTTGACGGTCTTGCGGTCTCTCAGTGAACATTCATCAGGAAACAGCGAAGAATATACGCCCAAGTTCTACAACAAAAGAGGTGTTCGGGATATGCTAGTCCGGTCTTTTACGCAGTTGTGAAAGCCGAATTACACAAAGAAGAGACTTGTAGGGATTGTTTTCGGACAGTGCAACCTCTGAAACAAAGAAGAGACAGTTCAGGTTCTGCTGTTCTCACTACCTTACCAAGGCACCTCAGTAATCTGAAGTGAACGAGGTTGCTCTGGGGTCCTTCTTTACTATAACTCGCAAGCGTATCCAGTCGTTCGGTCGTTAGGAAAAAAGAAGGTCACGGGGCCCCAAGGTCCAGTCGTATGAAAAAGGCACTGGACAATACAATGGCAATGGCTGAGCTGAGGATAGACTACAATCATTCCAAGTACATGTCGCTTCTATCAATTCAGGTACTCGGCCTTCAGCACAGAGTGCGTATCAGAGCTGGACTCACTGCTGTCTATACCGCTCAGCTTCAATTTTAGCCAAGTTCTACGTCAGACACACGCCTTGAACGTCCGTGTAATCGCAGCCAGGCCGTGCAATCGTTTCCATCTCCGCACAGATAGATGCCCGCGCCATGCGCCAAAGCTGCAAATACAATGATATCAGCTCTTCCGAGCATTGGTCAGGATGCAATGGGAGAGCAAAAAGAGCCCCATCTGTGCTATTCTCGATTCTCTCTCCGCTCGAACATTCGAGACGCTCTAGTCCAACCTGGCAGACACCGGACAAGATGCCTTCCAGACTTTCTTCTATTTTCTCACGGCGCCAGCCAGCCGAGCCCCAACACCCGAGCACAAGCGTGAGAAAGGAAGAAAAATCAACGAAACGCACTACGATCTTCTCCCGTAAGACGAGTGAGCAGACTCCAGTACCTCCAGTACCATCACTTCCCACTGGAGATGTCATCCTGCACCGCACCCAAAGGCGTCCATCAGTACCCATTTACGACTCGTTTGCTGCTACTAGTAGCTGTCGCAGCTTGAGCACCCATGACCTGCCATATCCAACCGGAGCTGGGCCATCCCGGCAAGAACAAAGCCCGCCTCGCGTCCCAAGCATAGCAGATTTCGAGGATTTCGAGCACCGCAGGACTTTGGACCTGCGCCGTTTGCCGTCGAGGACGAAAAAGCGGCCGAAACACGACGGTCACGACAGAGCCGCTGAACTGGCGGAATCGTATCGAGTCATTCTGCCTGACCCTGAGACAATGTTCGCGGACGACGACGACGATGCGGACGATGCGGACGACGAAGTCACGGGAGATGACGACGACATCGTACCGCAAGGCGGAGAGTGCACTCATTGCGGTGGAGAATCGCTTCCCAGCCCACAACAAACAACCCCTGCCAGGCGGACAAGCTCACCCGGGTCCCTTCCCAACATGAAGTCACCGTCCAACTCGACGAGTCCCATCTGGGCAACCTCAGTCACATCCTCCACCACCACGACGGCAGCAGCCGAACTAAATCGACAACCGGACCCCCAATCCCACCCGTACCCCAGCCAAGACAGCTCCGCCGGCATACATATTTGCACCCAGTTGTTGGCCGACGAGCTGACAGCGGCCCTTTCCTTGCAATGGCGAGCCGTAGGTGACATCTCCATCGACATCGACACCTATTCGGAGAAGGAAGACGCCGTGACGCACATGATGCAGCCGCAGCGATCGACGCAGAAAGTGCAAGTGCTGCTGATGATTGAGGCGTACGAGGGCGTGTTGAGGAGGTGTAAACAGGAACTGCAAGATCTGTCGGAGGCGATGGGGCGAGCAGAGGCCGGGGGCAGCAATGATGCGGCTGCGCGCAAGCGCGCGGTGAGGAGGCGCCAGGTTGGGGAGGCGGTGCCCGTCTTGGAGCACTGGTTGGAAACCTTGCGTGCGCTTTATGTTGGGGTGTTTATGGACGATGCGCCAGACGGTGGGCTCAGGCTGTGATTTGGTATTGTGACTGTCCGACGGTCGGTTCCATTGTTGATGTTGACTGGGTTTCGTCTGTCAGAGAGTGCACATGGTCTGGTCGGCTCGGCATTGTGGGATTTCACATCTTATTACTAGGTAACTGATTTAGGAATTATCAAAGTCAGGTGAATCAAGTTCCAAGCCCACGAAGGCAGTCAGTCTTGTAAAATCAACACAAAGACAAGCACTCGTAGCGAAAGATCGTAAACTTGTTTACAAAATCAAATCAACGTTGAGGCTACCTATCACAATACCAGGTGGTTAACAAGACACATCCATACTTCATACCTCCGTTTTACACTTCCCCTGGAGGCACAGGAGTTAAAAATGGTGAACACAGGCCTGAACCAGACTCAACAACCAACCGAACCAAAAATCACCGCTTGCCGTCACTGACACACGCATCTTCTGCCCTGCCAACCCCTATCACGCATTTCTCCGCATAGCAGCAGCCTACCTCTGCACGACGTCGTCCTATTGGGCTCGACCGAGCCATAGTCAACGACATTCTTTTCTGATCGCCAGGGAATAGTCTCTTTTGCTCCACGGAGCCAATATCTTGCCCATGTTTCCTTGGTTCGCCAGCGACCATCCTGGCCGCTCTTGCGAGACCCAGTCACCCTCGTATGCTTGGGAATCGCCGACGCGGGGCTTGGGCTGTTCAGAAGACATGTTGGTGTGAGTGGTTTCTGTGATTGTGTTGTTCGTGTATCGCTCGAGTTCTCCGTGCAAGGCGTTGAGTACTCTTGAAGGGTCTTGAGGGAAGTGAATCTGCGGTTGGAGGAGCTAGATGTGTCCCGGGACTCGGAGGGTGCGCTTTCTTGAATTTACAAAAGTCTTTCAGGTTAGGCGGCCATGTCCTAGGAGTCCTAAACTTTCAAGCTTCATCTTTGCCTGGTGATGTGGCATGATGCACAATCTGCTGCAACTTCCACTTGGTCGTATATGTGGTCAATGAGCATTACAGATGACTGCACATGTGGTCTATTCGAGAGTGGTGGAAACTATCTGTTCAATGCCAACCATCCAGTATGTGGCATACGAATCGCATGACAACGGACAGCTGGACACTTTTGGCCTCAGTACCGTCACTGCATCCCTGTAATTCAGGAAATTTCTACGAGCTTTGAAGCCAAGTTCGAGCCACAGCTAGGATTACACGTGGTATGACCAGTGGCTTGCAGAGTCATGGTGGTGTCTCTTCAAGATGGCAACAGCTATAGCAGTCATGACACTCTGGTTCCTCCGGTGCTTACAGCAGAGAGTTACGAGTGTTGGCTTCTGGCCAGGGCTGACGTATCACTCCTTCTAAAGACGCATCCGACCAAGCAGCTCCAGGGACACGTATCAGGTCAGCAAGAATAATGTTGTCCTTGCGTGAAACATGGCGTCGTTGGAGTCAATGATGCCCTGGAACCAACAGCACACACCTTCCGCCTTCTTCGACGTGCGAATCATGACGCAAGTGCGAGCCAGCAAGCGAGCGGCTATCTATAACCCTCTCGAGAATACACGCGCTGACCGAGGGAACATGGCCGCCTGAAGCCCGTTTAGGTTCTAAATACATGTTGCCTAAGCGGTCACGTTGACAAGCGGCCAGTTGATTCCTTTGTCCGCTGCCCCGGTGTTACCCAGACCTGCGCAGCTGTACAGGCCCACCGGGTTGTTCTCTGTCGCCCTCATGTACACCAGATCGATGCATTGCTCTGTTGCGTCCGTTAGTTTGCACTGTGTCTCGGGGCGTGCCAACAACTCGGGAGAGTTAGATGCTGAGAAATGGCACGGCGTCTCAAGGGACCAGGGGCTCAGGGGCTCAAGGGCTCAGGGGTACTGGTAATGACAAGACACGCACTTTGACCGGAAGGTTCCAAAGCAATGCGGCCGTCACCCATGACGAACCAGTTCTGGGACTCGGTGTTGTTGGCGCATTCGTTGACGTAGATGTTGCCCATGTCCTTCCAGTTGCCTGCTCGCGGGTGTCAGACACGTCGGCTCCTTTTTGCCATAGCAAATGTACAGGAGCAGATTACTGACTCTGGGCGCCTCCATCCATGCAAAGATTACTGTCGACAAGTTGGATCTTGGTGGCTCCGTCCTTGATATACCAGTGTTGCTCCGGCTTGTCGTTGCGGGTCTTGCTAAAGTCGGAAAAAGCACTGGTTAGGGAGCTGCTGCTCAGAAAATGTAGTTATTACGGATACGTACACAATCGTGGTGCTGCCGCTGGTCCGCGCTTTGGGCACGATCACGAATTTAGGGTTGACATTGGACGTAATAAGCACTTTTCGATAGCCCTCAAGCGCTTGGGCAAGGCCGGGCGCTGCAAGGGCGAAAAGAAGAACCGTGCTGCTGAGCATGTTGCCTAGGATACTGATTCATGCAAGTAAGTCCAAGGAGTAAGGAGCATTCTGAGCCAAAAGGGAGAGACAGCTATGCATATGTAGGCCGAGCTTGAAACGCCCGGGAAGGACAATTCCCCACCTTTGTTCATGATCTATATACGAGTTTAATCGGCAATGAGATGTGCTGGGAACAGCAGGAAACCATGTAACTCAAACGAGTAGTTCGGGTAATCCTATCTTTGGAGTTGATGAACATCGAAAGTGCCGGTGGTTCGAAAATCGGCAGATCATCTGTCCACCGGAAGAGGATCCGCCATATTACTGTGTTCCTGCCTCATACCACCCTGGTGTCGATTCATTATGGTCCCTGGAAGGATAAACTCGTCGTCCGCTTAGGAACCAATCCCGGCCTGCTCCTCTATGACCGGCATTCGGACGGGTAAATACAAACAGGCCACTCCGGGATGTCTCAAAGAGCTGGGATGCTAATCGGTGAGAGCCTCTGAGGTCGTACAACTCCTGGGAAGGTGCCGACACGTGTGATGAGCAACGCCTGTCCCAGTGTCGGTAGCTCGAAGATATGGCGAAGAAGGAACCAGCCCCTTTCACCTTCAAAAAAGCGCAACAAGCAAATTCAGCCATGAACAACCCCATCCCCGCATCCACCGAAGTACCCGCATTCTGACCGCTCCCATTGCCTCCTTAGCCACCAGCTCTCTGTGCCCCCGATCAGCTGGCGGCTCCCCCACCCGCACCAGCCGTCACATTCGTATATCATCTGGGAAGCCAAGTTCCTTCCCTCAACACAAATACAACTTCACCAACGAGCACCTCGCGCTGAACAACGACGGCTTCGAGGACATCACAGCAGACTATCTCCAACAAGTCAAATTTTCATCGATGAGCAAGAAGACAACATAGTCAGACAGCACGATGGAACCGAAAATCTGGTCATCAACGATAGCCTTGTTTGTCACATCCTGTCGCTGGTCGCCCTGAAATTGGCCGCGCCCTTCGCTCGCAAAACGTACATACCCGTGTGTTCCCATCTCGAAGTACTCGATCGTCAAGACAGGACCCTTTGTCCACCTGACTGAGGCATCTACTTGGAAGTTTCTTGGAAGGGACTTCGCTCCCGCCCCGCCAGTGCATTGCGCCTTCAACCACAAAAACCAAGCCGTCATCGTCATGGATTGGATCCAGGGCGCCGACCTCGCAGAGACCTAGGACTCCTACTCCGATGAAACCGCGAGGCCGTCATCAAGAAGCTCCGCTCCATGTTCGACGAGCTAAGGGCGCTCCCTCCAGCCTCCGCGGGGGGATATCACGCTGTGTAAGCAGCTCCCTGCATGACTCTCGCATTCCCCGATCATGGCCGAGATCCGGGCCATTCCAGACGATTCAGGATCTTGACTTCTGGCTTCGTGGCGATCTCCGGCTCGAAGAACATGCTGAGCGCAATGACGACCAAAATTGGAAGGAAATTGAGGACATGGTTGCGTAGCAGCACAGGCTATGGCTAGCCCCCGTTTTCACCCATGGCGATGTTAACCCGTTTAATATTCTCGTCTGCGGCAACCGCGCTACCGGCATCATTGACTGGGAGTTTGCAGGATGGTATCCTCACTACTGGGAGTACACCTCGGCCTGGTCCTGGGCCCAAATGTGACCCTGGTGGCAGCAAGCGGCCGCCGAGTTCCTTGACCCGCACCTCGAGGAATTGGCCATGGAGATCACGCGTCGAAAGTGGTGGGGAGAGATTTGACGGGTATGCCAACACGCGGGTACAGTCGAAAGCGTATCCATTCTGCATCAGAGTCAATTGACACACGTGCTCCACAGGCAGTAGAATGAGAATTGCGTCGGGACAGTCGCAGGGCTGAGTCCAAGACAAGATGGCGAATCGGTTTTCTCTCAGCTCAAAGATAAGAAAGGGAAGCGAATGAAACGAGGAAATCCAGGAGCATACCTGGCCTAGAACTGCCATACCTACGTCTGCTGGTAACTACGGGACAGCCTCCCTGTCCTCCAACATACCCAAAGTCGGCTTGGGCAGGCTCATATCCACCCCGCTCTCGTACCGTCCGCTGTCCTTCTTGCTAGCCACGTACTCGCGGGCACGTGGCTCGATCACGCCCTAATCCAGCTGCGCGATGCCCACCACCTTGCCGTCTTCTTGGATCCGCCGCAGGGCGTCGGCCAGCAACGTGCGGCAGTGCCGATCGCGGTCGTTCTGCTCGACGGGCGTGCTGCGCAAAATGGCGACGAGACGGGCCTCTTCCTCGATCTTGGCGATGCGCGAGAGCAGGTTGTTTGTGCTCTTTACGTTGGTGAGCATGGCCTCTTCGTAGGCTTAGCCTGTGAAGGGAGTGTTCCTCACGTGGTAGCGGACGCCGGGGACTTGTGGGGTCTCGTTTTTGGGGCCGATCAGCAAGCCCCAGTGGTATCTAAGTAGGTGGTATGAGCTTGAGTCTCTATGGATGTGGACCGGAAAGGAGGGCAATGACATCAATACATTCGTTCCTCGTTGTTGAGGACGCCGCTGGGGCACAGTGCAACGTACTGCTGCTTCTTGTGGGGGACGGACCATGTTGGTATTGAGGATTGAGAACGGCTACCCGGCAACAATCTGAGCTCGCAAAGGGTCTTGAAAGGAGTACGGACGGTGGGGACAAAAACCGCGGATGGACAATGCACGCTCAGAGAGCCATATACTCGCGTCGAATTTCCCTTAATGCACGTCTCATTCAGCCCCAAGCGTCGCGCTGTCCTGAGGGAACATCAGAGAACCTGACAGGTTGGGATCGGGTCTTAAACACGCGCTTCATCGATCTCTGAAGCGCCGGTTTGGGAACTGACCAGGTCGCCTGCATTACCCTCCCCAGCCTCTCCTTGGCCAAGGAGACCCAATGGTCTGGCTCAAGCAATCGTTGCCGCACAGCACGTCCCAGCTCAAAGGGGCATGATCAGAGGCGCGCCCGAGGCGCTCCCAACAACAATTCACCATACCAAGCTCGCCTTGCCCAATGACGAGCCGGCTTACCCTCAAAGACGAGATCCATCCTATGGAGATCGCCACCCGCGAGTTGGCGTATAAGGTCCAATATGAGGATGTTATTGACGACGCAGACGCACTTCTGGCCAATGTTACAGCCAAGTTGCCTGAGAGCTTTTAAGTTGGTCATGTCAGCGTGTTCAATATTGGCGCCACCAATCCGTGAAGCCATTCGGCCCTTCTGTGCATATGGCTTGTGCGGGAAACGCGGTACCTCGCACAGGAAAGAAGGAAGAAAAGGAAAGAAAACGGGAAGGGACGAAAGAAAAGACGACACCAGAAAAGAAGAAAAAGAAAATGGATCGATTGAAGGTAAAAGCAAGTGCTCTTTCCATTCTATCCGTGAATCGTGAAAGCCCCACATATCAACAAAAGTTCTCATTTGCAGGTTCAAGGTTGCGTGTGTATTTGCCCAACGTCCTGTGCGTTCGCTAAAGATTGACATGGAAAGAACTCCACTGAAACGATGGCCAAACGCAACGTTAATACTAGTAGCTATTGCCGCTTCTGTCTATTGGTGTAATCATGCCAATGCCCCTAGCCAAATGACCCTATCGCCCTACGGGAATGATCTATAAACCGCATGTTCCTAACCCGAATGCTCTCGACCGTCCGAGACATGCAAAAGCCATGGTGAGAAGCTGGCGAAGCAAGCAGTAGCGCCTCTAAAAGTTTTGAGCCCTATTTGACGAACCCAGAGCCATGATCCAACGGAGGGGGAAGTTTAGGAAGTGTAATCAATGTGTGAAGAGAAGCTCAGTACCTCGACCCAACACATCGCGATGTCCGATGAAGACATACTGCGTCCCCAATGTGAAAAAACCAAACGAGACTCCCAACAGCTTAGACGGCGCCGAAGATGCTAGCGGATGGTCAGCTCAGCGTCCGTTATCAACAAAGCTTCGGTTGCACTTACGTCTCCATCAGGATACCGGTGACGCGGTAGGGGTCGGCGTTGCTGGCAGGCCTGCGGTCCTCGAAGTAGCCGTAGCCCTTGGCGGCGACTTCGCGAGGAATGCGGATGGATGCGCCGCGATTGGCAACGCCACTGCGATTCGGTCAGCTACTGTCTGTGTTGTGGCAACACACGAGTGTCAACATACTAGGTGAACTGGTCAATGGCACCAGTCTCGTGGCGACCAGTGAGACGCTTCTCGTTGTCCTCGCCATAGACGGCGATGTGCTCCTGGTGGCGGGCCTCCAGCTTCTTGATGGCAGCCTCGATGGCCTTCATGCCGCCCTCCTGGCGCATCTCCTTGGTCGAGAAGTTGCTGTGCATGCCGGCGCCGTTCCAGTCGCCGGGAATGAGCTTGGGGTGCAGCGAGACCTTGACACCGAAGTCCTCGGCAACGCGGGCGAGGATGTAGCGAGCGATCCAAAGCTCGTCGCCCACTGTTTATACGTCAGCGCGGGTCTTTTAAAAGACTTCAGGTGCACGAGTATAACTTACTGCTGATCCCCTCGCAAGGGCCGACCTGGAACTCCCACTGTGACTTGCTGACCTCCGCGTTGGTACCCGAGATCTTGACCCCGGCGTATATGCAGGCGCGGAGGTGGCTCTCGACTATATCGCGTTGTACAACCCGGCCGGCGCCGACACCGCAGTAATACGGGCCCTGGGGAGCGGGGAAACCCTGTACAAGCCGAGTCAGTCGTCGCCTGTGCCAACGGAGCAGAGCCCGCAGGGCGGGCGAAGCACGTACATTTTGAGGCCAGCCGTATGGCCTGTCGTTCAGGTCCAGAAGGGTGTATTCTTGCTCGAGGCCGAACCACGGCTCAGTCTCGGCATGGGCTTGCATGAGCTTGGCACACTCATGGCGGTAGTTGTACTTGTTGGGGGTCCCGTCGTGGTTCCAGCACTCTGTCAGAACACTGACAAGCGTGTTAGCACAGTCCTCCAAAAAAGCTCCGGCCATGCCTAGCTATCGCGATGACGGACAGGATGTTGTTGCCCTTCCGGAAGGGATCGGGGTAGACGGCGCACGGGCGGAGGTAGACGTCGGAGTTGTCACCCGGAGCCTGGCCTGTGGAGCTGCCGTCGAAGTTCCAGATGGGCAATGTTTCGACGTCCCACTGCTTGCCGTCATCGCGGGGTTCCAGTGTCTGTAGCCAAATCAGCTATCCGCGTTCTTCATCCTGGGCTAATCGATGGCATGCGGTGGACATACCCGAGTTTTGGAGCGAGTGTTGCCTTCGGAATCGATCCAGATGTATTCTGCGATGACGATACCATGCTGGTCGAGCTCTGTGTACTTGTTCACCTGAAAAGCATGGCAGGTCAGTGCTCGTGATCTCTACGATCCGTATCGCAGTATTGCTGCTTACGATCTCAGACCGGGAAACAGCGGCTTCGGTTGTCGCCTGTGCCCAAACAATGTAAGCATGTGGGGCTGAACCGAGGGCCAGCGCCCGGGAACGGTACCATGGTTGCGGTGTTACTGATGCGGCTCCTGGGTATCTAGGGTAGGTAGGCGGAAAAAGAATGAGGTCGGCGCTGCTGCAAAGTGTCGCTCTATTATTACTGTATGATCGTGATGACTTAGGGAACTGGACTGCGGAAGATTTACATTCCACTTTGACGCAGGGACCGAGGGAAATTTATCGGCCACGAGTCGGAGGGGCTCCGCAGTGATAAGTGGCGGGGCCGTGGGGCTCAGTCCCCAGACATTGAGGCCTTTGTTTCTGCTTTCCATGTCTTGACTTCGGTGATCCCAGCTCTGGACTTGGGACGGCCATAACTCCCGGCATGGAAGTTTCCTTCAACCTCCTTCCTCACCAATAACGTTACGCATAGCGCCCGAATTGGGTGTGCTCGAATGCGACCCGCCCCCGGGCGAAACGGCTGCAGCCCAATGAGGGGTGTTACAGTTTGTCACTTTATTCTTAGCGACCTGAGCCGGCCCGGCGGCCCCTCCGATGTCCCCCGAACCCCACCATGGGATCGCCACAACCCAGATCGGCTTCCCGAATATCAGCGGCCTCTGGTTGGCCAACTCTTCATTTTGCGTAAAGATGCTGATGCGTGCATTTCGACCTGGCAGGTGCAGGCGGTGGCTTCCACCCGCCGCACACACATGGCTGCTCTGCCGGCCGGTTTAGGTTTTCGTTTTGAGTTAAGTCCATTCGTGTCACTTTCGCATCTGAAACCCGTCCACGGGTGCAACCATCCCGCCGTCCGAACGAGAATTTGCGCCACAGCCAAACACCATTGCTGCTCCTCGGGATCCCGGTCAGGCCCTTTGCTGAGTCGCTGACCTTCGACGTCCAAACTTAGGTTCTCACGATACGAACCAGCAGGCTGGTCGGTGGCGTTTCAGGCACCCCAAACGCTTTGGGCTCGGTTTTGGCCTGGAATCGGTGGGGTTGCAGGGCGCAGTCGCATTGCATTCCAAGTTTCACAAGGTATTTCAACGTCATACCGCTAGCCATTTTCACTGGCAAGGGCAGTGAACGCTTCACGTGAGAACCTACCTCACCGACTACTCTGGGACGATGAAGTCACGAAGGAACAGCATTGCCGGATGCCTCCCATAGCCGGCGATGGATCGCAAAGCTCCCCGTTCCATTGCCGGCGTCGCCTGCTTGTTGCCGATGCATTTGGCGCCGCTGAATATCAGAGCCGCGGAGCATTCTACGACGTTCCTCCGTCGTCGAAAATCGCAGCGCCTTACAGCCGCCGTCACTTCAAATCCTGATGTCATAATTCCAGGACGTCCCCAAGGCTTGAGGGCTAGCCCGACTAGCCAAAGGCGGCCCTTTTCGTGGTTGATGTTCTGCTCTCATACCTGAGAAGGGAGCGCATGCTAAGCCACAAAGACTGCAGCCCAGCCACATACCCCACAGCAGCTTACCTGAAAAAGGCAGATTTGCGGCGAGGATGATATTGCCTCATTCCTCCCTTCAGCCGGAAGAAGGGTATCCGTAAGACGCCCTTTTCCGCATTTTCCCGCTTCAGCCGTGCAACCGTAGTCATGGATCTGGGCCTGCCACTACTTGAGAACCTCAACATCGAGCGATTGGGCCTGGATCATCCAGCGCCGACCACCCAGTTGCACATCCCGTTCAAGCTGCCCAGCCTTCTCCCCTTCTCCTTGGCGTAAATCTCCAAAAATCAAGACCATCGCGGCCGGCAGACTCGAGATTCCCGACATAGGTGTCGGCCCCCGCTTCAAGTTGTACCTGGGCGGCGGGAGATTCTGGGACTGGTCCGAAACGAGAACAAAGCTCGAGACCGGTATCCTTGTCAGCGATGTCCAGGAGCTTGTGCGGCATGGCGCATCCACCGTCATTCTCTCTCGAGACTGAAAAGTGAGCTTCATGTCGACCCCGCCTCATTGCGCTTTCTAGCGGACAACGACATTACTGTGCTGATCGCCAACACATGGAAAGCTGCGCGCCTTTATTGCGATCTTGTGGAGACCACGGCAATTGGGGCTTTGTTCATATTCCATTCTGGGAAGCAGAGTGCCCATTGCACGTTTCGGGATGTCGAGGAACGCGACATCTAGATACATTCTGTTGTGGGAACTGCGCGTGCGTCCGAGGGAGGGTGTTTTCACCGTATGGCGTACGGGCCGGAACAGACTTAATCAAGTCAACGGCGTGGAACTACGGTCCCTCCTCCGATTGCCACTCAAACCCATACCGCAGAACGATCTTCGAATCGGGTGACAACGACAAGATCTTTGAGGCATAGCATAAGCCGATCCCGCCATTACAGGTACGAACCGCCACCTCCTGTGGGGATGTCATCAGTTGACGGCGATTCTCTCCCCCATTTCCTGGTCCCATGTGGGATCAATGGGGTGGTTCTGAGTTCTTCTTCTGTCGGCCAGTCGGCTACCGGGCAAGAACGATGAATGTTTCGATATATCGGATACGGCCCAGAGTCCTTGTGGGCTAATTTTTTTTGTTGTGCCAACCACCTCACAGCAACAGCTTTGTACCGTACTTTGCAGGTTGCACAGTACTCATTAGTACACTTCCTATTACAAGTCTTGTTTAATGTTGGCTGCGGTACGCGGGTGAGCAACTCGAGTTGAGAGTGGGAGTGAGGGTACCTACTTCTCAAACTAATTCTAGCTCAGTTCGTCCATCCCGCTTGGTGTCTCCTTGTCTTTCGCCGGGTGTTGCAGGTAATCAGGCTTGTATCACGATGTCAACAGAGCTGCTGGCAAAACTCACTGGAGACGGTATTATAGCTGTCAGGCGGCGGATTCCACTGCAACTTGAAGCCATTCCAGCTTCCAAGAAGCCACGACACCAATCACTGGACATACCTAGATAGCAACACCCAGTCTACCCCAAGAGTCGCCATGTCATGCATAGTCTGACTCGTTGCTATGCCTGGGACATGGAGATGGATGATTCGACGAGGCTGGCCGAGAACAGAAATGCTGATCGAAATGGAAAGAAGCGAAAAGAGAGAAGGTAGAGAATCTCCAGGAGTACGACCTCAGTTGTTACGTCTTCAGGTCCCAGAGAAGTGCTCCACCCTGGACTCGAACCAAGGAGCAAGCGCAGCTAACGTCTCGCGAGGTTGAATTGTGTAAATTCTTCACGCCGGTACGCCGCTCCCGCCACATACTGCCCCTAACACCATGGGCACAACTTTCGCTCTGAGTTTACTGTGCCCAGCTTTATGAACCCTGCATCTCTCAGCCCGCCGGGTCATGAAGACAACCTGGAACTTGAAGAAAGAACGCACCCATGTTCCGATTCCGAACTTGGATTCCACGTCTTTGAACTTTACAAGTTCTTCGTGTCATACCATCAGACCCCCAAATTCCTTCTCGCACCAGCGACAATCGTATTTGGCAACTCATACATGTCTACCCAAGTGAGAGGACTTATTGCTTCGATTAAGCTATCGATGGGGCATTAGGTCTTCCAAAAACCAAACCGCTTGTCTGAACGACCTCATGATCCATCCCTGACAGTTTCGTGGCCTATGATTCAAGGTATGTTTCTAAGCCGCTTGACGCTTTGTTGAGCCGGCGAGTTCGAGGCCCCGACGAGTACCGTTCTTGAACTTCCCACACCCATCTCCCCACCTCTTCCTTGAGTCTCTTCATCTCCTTCTTCTTGCGAAGACCAAAGCGGTTTTCAGCCTGCAGTATCATCAGTCGCTTAGGCTGTTTCATATTCTTCCTCTGCTCCATTGTCAAAGGCCGCATGAACTCGAAGACGGGGTCGGCACCGCGACGATACGGGACGGACCAAATTCCGGCGTGATGCGTCAACTCCTTGGAGCAATCTTTGTTGATGTCCTTGGGCCGGAAAGGGGCTTTTGAGGGCTCTGCCTCCTTCAGGGCAGCTGCTACGGCGGCGGCTTTGCCACTTGCGTTATACGCAGCAGCGTCTGCAATCTTACGTCCGACGACGTCGCCCTTGTGGTCGGGGATGTGGATCAGTGTGAGCCGCCCGTCAAGCTCGTGGAGTTCGTGGCTCAGTTCTAGCGACTAGCCCCCGTAGAGGCGCCATGGTCTTGAGGAGTCTGAACGCACAACGATCATGTTGAGTGCCTCAGCAATGGCGATCAGTTCTGGCCAGTCTTGTGAAACATCTGCTCAAGGTCCCAAGCTTGCTACACCCATCTATCGTCCTTGTGGTCCTCGTATGCCACCGAGTAGACGCCATACGGACTCTGGCGGCTGCTGTCCCACATCTGCATCGACCCGTCGACGAAGAAGAGGAAGCGAACGGTGTCGCCCTCGGCCGCTTGCAGATCCGAGACTTGCTGAGCATACCAGACCACCCCCTTGTCCTTCAAACGGAGAATCTTGGCAATCACTCTGCCCTTAAGCTCCTCGTCTTTGTTCGCTGAGAGAAGCGGCTTCTGGTTCTGTGGACGCCAACTGTCGAGGAAGAATCCCACCCCGTCTCTATCCCTGGGGTATTCTTCATGGCACCGAGATGCTTTTCCGGGCGCCCGCCGTCATCTCGAATCCGATTGGTGATTGCGATGTCCTCGCGGCTGGTGCAGGGCCGCTTCGTTGGGTCCTTTCAGTATCGTGTCGAGAGTGACTAGAGTATCAAAGAGCACAGGTCAGCATAAGAATCGCTGTCGCAAAAGGGCAAATCCCTGAATAGCAACAAGTCGAGTTGTCCCATGTCCTCATTTCACCACAAGCGATTGGGCCCTGATGAATCCCGAGGCTTCTAGGACAAACGCGGTAGAAGGAAAGGAAAAGACACTTACGCATCTTACTCGAACGGCAAGTAAGGCCCAGCGACTTGCCGCTCTCCATGCCTTCGAGGTAAGGAGACGGAAATGAACGAGTCCCGTCAATTGCTAAGAACAATGAGTATCTAGCAAGGCATGTCCGGGATAATTCCGAAGTCGAAAAAATCAAGAAGGGTGCGCCCAACGAAGAATGGCTGAACCAATGCAGCGATGGGCGACCGAGAACTGCGTGGAGGAGGGCAAACCGGTGAATGTTGAGCCAGTGGATATCAGACAGAAGTTGACAAACAAATACGAGATATCCCTGAGATATCCCTGAAAGTATCACAGTCCTCATGCGAGATCTAGGCCGTGACGACAGAGGCGCGAAGAGCCCAGGCCGTTGAGTAGCATATTTGAAATATGTGAAAGCGCCCATCCCACACGTGAACACTTTTTTGGGGGAGATCAGCAAGGTGAACTTAAGGCATCAATCAACATAGGTCTCACCATTTCAACGGGACCATTTCAACGGGACGACTCGCAGGATGCAACTCCCAACCGTTACCCACGGAGATAGCTATTGCCAAGGTCTTCAGTTTCTCAAATATCTTACCTTGCCATCGTGATGCTGTAAACCGACCCCAGGATGCAATTGTTCCTGTGCCGAGTCGACTTGTCCCTGAGTGCAGTGAACTGTCCCCCAGTGGGGGTGTTTACAGCGGCTTGTTTCTTCGTCTCTCATAGACTTAGCCTCTTAAACCGATCGACCCAAGGGGCGTAGAAGACAGATAAACCCGAAACCACCGAATAAGGGAGCTGAATGAGTTGATGATCAACCCTAAGGAGGTAAGTGGTTCGTTCTAGCCCAGTATATGACTAGATAAAACGAAGTGAAAGCTAAAGGAACAAAGAGACAAGGAAGTCAGAGAACGAACAAAAGTCTGCAAGCAGTGCAAACATCGTAGGTGTCCACTACACCTGTGAAATTTCTTATCGCCTTTCCAAGTTCCCTTAGCCATGATGGGAGCACACAGTACTTTAAGAATTCCCATGGAGCAGTTCGTCAACCAGGGCACCTAATCACCCAAAGCATAATCATGAATCACATGTCATTAGTCGTCAATGCCGTCATTCATAGCCCCATTTCTTAAGTACCTTACTCGACGTCGTCTGCCACTTAAGTCACAGCTTTCAAGGTAACCTTTCCCGACACAAGTCTGCCACGGCCATTTCTGGACTCGTGTATTCCTTCTGAACTCAGCAATGGGTTTAAAGAGCACATGAACTTCAAGGGAGGACGGATAGAGGGCTAATTTGTACGGCGTGAATGTGGGGATGGCAGTGCCGCTGGTGAATCGCATCGGTACTAAAACAGATAGGCGCCATAGAACTGCCCTCCAGAGAAGCATTGGGGGATCTTGTGCATGCTAGCAAGCGCAATATGCGAATTGTCAACATGAGGCACTGCACCTTGGCTGGAGCTTAGGAAACGAGACCGGAGGATTGTGTCCGGATTTGCATTCTGCTGGCTTTGACTAGCTGCCTTCAGGTTGGGGCTGGGGTCTTCGTGGTCATCGAAGCGACTTGTGACAGGACATTGAATAGGTCGGCGCAGCTGGGGATATTGTGTCTTGCTGAGGAGCTCCGAGTCGAGATACTACGGTAGGCCATGACAACACCAGATATTGCGTGCAACCTTCTCCAGTCCCGATAACGAGGTGTTTGCGAACCAAGAGTGCCGGAAAACGCTCCCCCGGTCTGTTTTGGGGAACTCGTGGTCGAACAGATTTGACCGTGTCCTATCTTCTTGCTTCGCAACTCCGTGTTCCTGGTTGTGGTCGACGACCCAGGACTGGAAAATGAACATCCGCCAATTTCTCTACCTCGAACGGCCCGAAGCGTTTGAGATCGATACGACAAATGGGCCGTACCAAGTGTCTGGGTGTGGAGAGCTCCACTGTATCTACCGGCGTGGTGTTCGGAAGAAGCTATTCCGCCCCTGGGTCCGGTTAGACTGCGGCTCGGACCCCAAGATCACGCTGCCAGTGCATCCATCTTCTTCACGCTACCCCAGACGTACCCCACAGAATTTTTCCAGAACATGTCTCCTACTTACGGTTCTTTGTGCTCCGAGGTCCTGTATCAGGCAAGTATCCTCAATGACACCAATGTCCGCTCATCAGATGTCGATGAGATGACCTGTGCGGCGTCTCTCTGCCTGCCATGATGGTTACATCTTTCCTCCCTCGCCAGGAACCAGGGTATTATTTTGAGAAGAATGGCTTGTGAGAGGAGCTCAGGTCACAGGGAGCTTCAAGTTTGGATAGGTACAGTGGATGTCGACCTCTCTCGTGTATAAGTAGAAGCACATTTCCCTGCATTTTGATTTTTGTTCAGCACCAAAAATACAACGCCAGCCTCAACACATTTACCAGCCTTTGCCATGCAGCTCTTCAATTTCGTTACTCTCTCCTTTGCCGCAGCGGCTGTGGCCGTCCCTGTGTCTGAGCCCGCCAGCGTGGCTCTCACGGCGCGGCAGGATCGTGGCTGGTACACGGTCTCGGGTCTTGGAAGCCGGAAGCAGGCCATCCTGAACGCCGGCGGAAACACCCTTGATCTTGCCATTGCCATGCTGGAGGACGAGAGAATGTCGACGAGTTACCCTTATGGTAAGAGCCTCTTCGTCGGCCCTCCTCGACGCTGCTATCCCATCGAAGCTGTTGCCTTAGCGAACATCTTGTGCTCAATCGCAATCAAGCTTCCGGAGTTCCTGATCAAGGTGACCATTAGGTGATCGCAAAACGGGCGACGCCGCAAACTTTGGCGTCTTCAAGCAAAACTGGGGCATGATCCGCGTATGCGCATCGCGCGCTGGCTTCAAGGGCCAGAGCGAAAGCCAATGGAACAATGGCGCGAGACTCAAGTAAGTGTAATTGCATTCTAATACGTTGGAGCCCTGAGAAGCTGCCCCAGATCTAACAGCCGTTGTCTAGCTCTGACATCTATGCCGATGTTGCCTCGCGGTGGGATTGCCAGCAGTATTATGGCTACGACAAGTGGTTTGCCGGGCATCGCAACGGAGCATCGGGGCTGGCAAACCCCAACACGGCGGACATCAACAACTACAAGAGTGCCGTGCAGTGGATCGAGAGCCAGATCAACTCCAACTCCAGGTACAGGACTGACGACACGCGCTTCTGGGTCAACGTCCCGGCCATCTGATTAGGCTATGCCGGCTACACACCAGAAGTGGTTTTTGATGAGACGGAGATAGAGGTGGAGATCTCCTCGTCAGCGAGCAGTCATGGGCAGTCTGGCCATGGATATATCTCAACCTGCCCTGGAACGTGGTGCCACTTTCTGACCTTTGACCTTCTGTTACCTCATTCTCCTTCTTTACCTTATATGCCGTAGCTGTCTCTCTTTCAACTGATATCTGGCACACTCTCTTTACCTTATTTCTGGGTGACATCCATAACTGCCCTGTCTTTGTAGCGAGTGACGGTGCCAAGCTTGTAAGTGCCATTCTCGCCGTAGATCCGGCCGGTACACAGGATGGAGGCCACCAAGCAGTCAAGCCTAATGCCGAAAATCCTTCAGTGTTTTTACTTCAAAGTTGTAGGTATGGGCAGGAGACCTCACTGGATATTGGCATGGGTACCTACCTAGGTACATACTCTTTGAGTCAGGGGGCGGCCCGTTGCCCCAGTAACGGCGTCCCTCTCCAATCTCCTGACCCACATTTACCCCGGACAGATTCCACGAAGCAACTTATGAGTGTGGCCACTATGATCCAGCAATGCGCTTCATCCAGAGAGCTGCACTCAAGCAGCTCCTGCAGTTGGAAACCCAGGGTTATGTAAACTTGGAAGATCGAACCCCTGTTGGATCAGGGAAAGTTCCGGCATGTACGTCTGACGATTGATTTCCAGGAAACCTAATGGGATCGAGAAGTAGGAGGCGGCACTCTCTTACTTGAAGCAGATCTGTAAAATGTAAAATATTTTGCTCAGGTGTCTTCTGCTACAACGGAAGAACGAATTGGACCTTCTCGTCGCCCACCTTCCAGCGACTGTGTGTCTAGAATGCGCGTGTAGAAGTGTCCAGATTACTTGGGGTTCCTTGGCCAGTGTGGCATCATGGCAACTTGGTCTTGCTGTGTCTCGCGACCAAACATGTAGCAGTCGGCGGTGCTTCTGTATATCTTTTTTTTCGATGTCGGAGATTTGGACGTGCAGTAAATGTTGCGGATGTGTTCTCGAGCTCCCTGTGTGTTATTCCATCTGATGTCTCTCTGATGTGCGTCCAATTGGGGCTGGCCCTCATTGTGTGACTGCCTTCCCGGGCACGGGTCTGGTTTTGCGAACCAAGGTTTTCAAAGCTTGCCGGCTTTTGCCTGGCTGTTCTTGGTCCATTAATGTTTTTTCGAGTTCCTACCGTTGAAGTCGTCCAAGGCAGCCGATTTTCGCTTCTAGTATCCCTTCGACCGAAACAAGAGCAGCTAATTCTTCGCGAGCTTGCTTCTTATTGATGAGACAAGATGTGTAAATGGTCTTCTCTTCTTATTCTATTTTGTTCGCTACATAGCTCCCTATGGACACGAAATATCCACGATTTTTGGGCGGCCCCGGGTCTTGAAAATCGCAGCGTCAAGGTTCCAATTGGGACCCGGCACCTTATGCTGCCGACTCATTGATTCCCAAGCGCAGGCCATGTTGAGGTTAGAAGGGTTCCGACCGTTCCTGATCTTAGATCGCGGGAGCAACCTGCTGCCTGGGGGGGCTTGCTTTGGTTGAGGCGGCGCATCATTTGACTCTGTGGGCTTCGACGAAGATTCGAGCATAAGACAAGCACCTGGCGCCGTCGCAAAAAGAAGAGGCGGGCGTCTTGTTGCACAGCCGTTTGACTTCGCACATATCGTCCCGCCTAGCCAATGATTTATTCCGTGGTAAGTTTGTTTGATTTCACTATTGATTGTAGCAGTCCTTGCTAATTGATGTTTGAGCAGCAGCAATGTACGCATAGTGTCTGAGAGCAGCTCGACCAGCGCGGCGAATTTCACGCCCTTGGGCGCTGAAAGTCTTCCGTCCTGGCTGATGGCCTGCTCCTCGTGGGAAGCGCGGCGGAATCCCGCCAACTCATGAGCGCCGGCTGAACAGATCCAGCGACGAGGAGCATCGCGATCGCCCATTCTACCCTTTCACCCTGCTTATTCCAGGACCTGCGGGCTGTGCCGTCATGTCCCCGGACGGCATCGCTGATTCTCCCTTGATCAGCGACGAGACCTTGGGCCGCGTTCCCTGCTCCGCTGGGACCCCAGTTGCTACCTAGTATTGGGCTCAACTAATACGAGGCGCATTGGGCATATGGATGACAAGAAGAAATGGTATAGTCTTGCTGACAACTAATCGATTGGTCTGGTCTCGTTGACGGCCCTGCTCAAATATCCCCAACAAGCGGATGCAGGTCGACCTCGTGGCTGGCCTCCCTGCCGAGGTGCGGCCGAAGAGACGGCGCGTCCATGGAAAGGACGAGGAGGAACCGACCGAAGTCGAATGCGTCAAAATATGAGATCCTCAGTCGCCGTCTTTCTCATCCGACCCCGACGGACCTGAAGAGCTAGTTGCAACGATCAAAAATGGGACAAAGCGCCAAGAAGCTGAGTACGCGCATCGGGCCATGGAGCTGGCTGGTTAAGAGGTGGAAGAGCCCGGCGTGGTGCGGCTGAACTTCTTCGTGGCCGGTTCAAAGGGAGAGACCGGCTTCAGCTACAAGGGGAACCCTGGCGCTTACTCTCTCGTTTAAAGAACTCGGAAGATGACCGGTGGGTGGAGCAAGCTTGGTTCATCGACGACATGCTGAGCAAAAACTGGGTGGAGCTGATGACCATCGCGGAAGCCCTCAACATGGCCACGCTACGACTGAGACTGCAGCCGGAGATCACGACAGTGGTTCACATCTTCACTAATAGTGAGCAGAGCCTGGAGTATCTGACGCGCAAGTCGGGATGCAAGCGTCTCCTTGATGACATAGTCATGGAACCCAACCGGTACTTCATCAAGAAGCTCTCCCGCGAGCTACACGAGCGCGGTGGGTGGCTAGTCCTGAGCCGCATACCGGGACATAAGCACGACGTGGTCGGTCACGCCAAGGCCGACAAATGCTGTACTCAGCGATTCTCGAGCCGGACAGAAAGCCTTGGACGACATTAAACGAGCCTCAGACGACCACAAGCCCGACCCTCGTCTGGCTCTCGGCGCGATTCTATCTGCGCGTCCGTTGTCGCCGAACGAGCTCACCAACAACCCGTCACCCAAGCCGAATAACCATAGCGCAATGTGGTTTGTATGGCATGGACGCGGGTTAGATTGCATTGCTGCCCTCAGGCGAGAAGAATTCGCCTACAGGAGAGGAACGAGGGAAGGTTTTGCGACTGAGAAACCTGTCGGAGGGTCAAGTGCAAGGAATAAGCCACGAGGTGCAGAGGCTGAAGAAGCAAGTGGCTGATTTTCCATGAGCTTTTAGGTGTAAGATAGTTCGGGGCATGTGGGATGGCATTGGTGTCAGGTCGAGGAGGACGGCAGCCAGAAGTATGGTGCCTACTGGGTGATAAAATTCACTGACAGTGATGGATTATCGTCGGAACCCCGAGGCAAGGTTATTGCCGATCTGTGGCATAGTACGGTGATAGAACGTAGACATGTATCATGAGCTGCCAGATGATCGTAAACCTATCAAGTGCCAACCGTCTAAGTACCTTTAGTGTTCCGGTTGGGTTGATGGGCATCGGAGCACAATGTCAATTGAATCAGGAGCTGTTGCGTTCAGAACACTAGGTCAACGTCCTGTCCGTCGTAGGCGTGCGAACAGCGAGTTGCGATTATGGCAAGAGCGATACCTGACAGTTCGAGCCACAAAGACACATTTTGGACGTCATGGTTAGCGGGGTTGGAAGGTTCGAGGGCTTATATAGCTGGGCACCTTGCTGCACAGAATACTGAAGACAAGAACATTCCCCATTGTATAGTGGTAAGCAAATGGGACGGGCCTAGCTGATCTGGAGCAATTCGCGATTTCAACACTCCATTCAAGATTAGGCTCAACCTCCCTCGGCCCTTGGTCCAACGCCAAGGTGGAGCACTCACCTGAGTTCCTGAATTCAGGTTCTCTGCATTTGCAGACTCCCCTTTTCTCTTTTTGGCACTTACATGGCAATGGTCATGTTTATAACATGACATCTCTTTCGTCGGGAACGTCAGCAAGCAACGTGAATGGTAAATGAAGCAGAGTTGAATGATCGGACGATGAGGGCTTGGATGGATGCTTGTAAGATCTCACAATGTGTGCGCCAGTGGACAGCATCGCCCTCATAAGGCTGCGTCGTGTCGCATTTTCCCATAAAGTTGTGGGCACAAACGGCGACTGAAAAGGGCTCTGTGGAGTAGTTGGCATATGGGATGGCTTCTGAGGTCGATGCATGACTGTTGATTACGACGGGCAGGCTAGACCGGCTTCCGAAGGCCCAAAGTTCGATTTCCAGGCCGTGTTCCTTCCTAAGATCTTGATCTTGGGATGCCTGCCAGGGCAGCACTCTCCATCTGCATTTTCTTCCCAGCAGTTTAGGGTTACATCTGACTGACGATCGGAGTGAGGCTACACAAGGGCTTTCGCCATTTCCAAAACGAAAAGAAAGAAAAAGAGCCGACTTTGACAAGCGATCCTCTATCATGCCACATGTGTGCCGAACAGAACAATCACACATGGTGCGAGTTATCCGCCACAACAACGCAAGCGTACTTCGGAACCCGATTGAAGGACACCATAACATACCATATCCAGCCCAAACCGGAGACAAAGACCATGTGGCCGCATGGCACGATTGTTGAGATTCCAGCTTATTGCGATTTTCAACTCCCATTCTCTTCCGAGTCCTCGCCACTGTCGAGGGATCAGCGCATGTTGTGGCTCGGTGTGGATATGCCAAGAGAAAGCCGGAAGAAAGCCGAACCAAGCGTTCGGCGACGGTCATGGAACCGCGACGCCCGGCCGGGAACTAGCAGTTAGTTAACGGCTCAACATCCCTGACCGTGGACAAGAAGCAGAGTGGATCACTGTTCTGCCCTTTTCCCTTCAAAATTCCCGACATCGACATGTTTCGGGAAACCAGCTTGTTCCCTGTTCTTCCGTCCGATGTCTTCTGCGTATCAACACCACCGCCCATCTCGACAACAGCCGCAGCACCGGTGGCCCCCAAATTGACGGGCAAACGCGATGGGTTTGTGGGAAGAGGAGGACTACGGCGTCCTGGCTGACCGGGCATGCTGGGCTATGTTCGCCGTCACAGCAGGTATGTGTGTCTGCAGCGGCCAATTTCTTGTTTCGGGAGACCGCCCCATCATGCTGGTGTTGAGCTGACACAGAATCTGGGATCCAGTGGTTGTTGGACTCCGAATCTTCTGTCGAGCATATTACGCCCGGGTTAGGGGACAGGGACTAGGTCCGGACGACTACATCACGCTGGCCTGCCTTGCCGTCTTCCTCGCGACCTGCATCCTCGTTACGCTCGGCTCGCACTACGGACTGGGGCGGCGCATGGCGACGCTCCCGCCCGAAAACATTGTGCCGGCGCTCCGATACAACGTCATCATCAGTTCCGTGCTGATCTGGCAGTTCTCGCTGCCCAAGTTCGCCATGATCTCAATCTTGCAGCGCATCCTCAGCCCCGGCATCAAGACCGTCATCGCATTCTGGTTCCTCGGACTCTCTTCGCAGGCCTGCATTCTGGCCACCTCAGTATGGTGGTTCAAGCAGTGCGATCCGGTAGAGTATGGGTGGGATAGGAGCATACCCGGCGGAACTTGTGCCCCTGTCAGTGTCATGGCGAACCTGGGCTATTTCACCTCGGCGTACTCGGCCTTCCTCGACGTCTTTTTCGCGTTGTATCCCATACCGTTCATCATGCGCCTCAACATGCCCCTCAAGACGCGGATTGCGGTTGCAACGGCGCTGGGACTCAGTGTGCTGGCCTGTGTCGTCTCCATCTACAAGCTCGCCATTTTCGGACAGATTTTTGAGATTTTGGCCTTTGACCCAACATGTAAGTGTTGTCCTCCTACCTACCTCGGAAAGGGAGTTGCACCGCACGAGACTAACCAGGTCCTTCAAGATCCTGTGCCATACCTCGACATTCTCGGTGTAGCCGAAGGGTGCATTCTCATGGTGTGCGCATCGCTCCCGACGTTGGGGCCCCTGTACCGTGCGGCGAGAGGCAACCTCACAACCGGAGCCGGCGACAGCGCGCAATTATCGGCAAATCAGTTCGGGAATAGCAACGGCGGAACTCGGAATTGGGATAGTGTCAAGGGGCACAAGCTTGAGTCGGACGCCGAGGGGGAGAGCTTGCATCTGCGGCCCAGCTTCGATGCCATCCCTCTCGTTACCACTGCCAAGACGACCGGCCATGTGGAGGAAATGGGGATTCGCAAGACAATGGAGGTGTCGCTCTCCTCCGAGGCCTTCAATGGACAAAAGCGCCACAAAGGCGCTATCGCAGTCTGACTGCAGCATTGTTACTCTTACATTGTGTTATTAGGAGGCTTCTCAAAATGACAAATCATCATGTCTGATTGGAATCAACCACCCGACAGGGTCAGAAATTTCACTTCTGTGTAACTGCCGAAGTCAACCCCTCGCCCTTGAACATGCCGCCAGACAGGGGGGAAGCGGAGCCATGCATGCAGTGAATGCAGGGGTTTTGACCAGGGTTGTGATCCCGCAGCACGTGGTTGGTATGAAGAAGATGAGGCCAGAGCAGAGCCTCTCTGTAAGGGACGAGACAACAGATCACGGCGCGTAATGTGTGTGTGTCAGTTGTCAATTCTTGATTCCGGGTCGTACATGGTATGCCCAAGCAGCTTCTTCTCTAGCGGCCGTTGAGCCGTCGAGATTTCCTGAACTGCCGGTTCAGGAGCGGCGGGGACCAGGATCGAACTAGTCCAAACCGAGGCATTTCGTGCGTTAGGTGGCGGGGTCCCGTTGTGATACACAGTAGAGAGGTACGGATATGATGCCGAGCAAGCCAGCAGAGAAACAGTGGGAAGCAGCCCCTCAAATGGGAATTGCGTCCCTGATATTCAGGAAAAAGCATCATCGACACGCATCGGTTCATTATGACATCGGCTGACCAGCTCATTGCTAGCCTCCAAGGCACAGACATCAACTCGTTTGCTGACGAAGCCGAGCGGATTCGTGCCCGGGATGCCGTGTTTGAAGCCCTCAGGAGGATTCAGTCCCCATGGGACATTGCGTGGGACCACAACTGTAAGCCCACGGCAGGGACTGTTAACTCAAGCCTCCCGAGACCGGATTGGCTTGGGTAGTAACCTCGCTGACATGGTTGGCAGGGGTGAGCGGCGCCATCAATGCCTCCATCAAGACGCTCATCGACGCCGGCGTCTTCAAAAAGTGGGCGGAGGCCGGTGGTAAAGCCATCACTTGCACCAGGCTTGCCGAGCTCACAGGAGCCGACGTGCTGCTCATCAGTACGTTCTTCTCTCCCTGGTACCTGCGGCGTTTGTTGAACTGCTCACTTACACCCATGTCCAGGACGCATGATGCGCGCCATTGCCGGCCAGCACCTCGTCACCGAGGTTGCCCAAGACACGTACGAGCGCACCCCCTGGGCCAAGGCCCTCGCCGAGGACGCCTCGTTCGCGGGCATGTACGGAGGCTTCTACCACGAGCTCAACAACCCCATGTTCCGCACGCTGCCGGTCTACCTCAAGAAGACGGGGTTCAAGAACCCGACCAACGTGAATGATTGCAACTTCCAGTTCTGGCGCGGCGAGGGCGCCAACATGTTCCAGTACGTCGGCACGAACCCGCTGCTGACGTCCGACTTCAACGACGCCATGGAGTGCCACTCCAAGTACAACCTGACGCCCTGGGTCGACATCTACCCGACCGAGACCGCCGTCGCAGCTGCCAGGGAGCGCAGCGGCTCCTCCCCGGTCGTCGTCGTCGACGTCGGCGGCGGCAAGGGTCACGACCTGAAAAAGTTCCTCGCGCGGCACCCAGATCTGCCCGTCGGCAGTCTCGTGCTGCAGGACCTCCCGGACATCCTTAAGGGCGTGCCCGAAGACCTCGAGGCGGACGGGGCCATCGCGGTGCAGCCGCACGACTTCTTCACGCCGCAACCGGACAGCGCCCGGGGTGCGCGCATCTACTTCATGCACAACGTGCTGCACGACTGGCCCGACGAGACGGCGCGGCAGATCCTGCGGGCGCTGGCGCCCGCCATGGAGAAGGGCTACTCACGCCTGCTGATCCACGAGAGCCTGGTCAGCAGCGAGAAGCCGCTGTCGCGCGTGACGGTGTCCGACATCACCATGATGGCGTGCCTGGCGGCGGCCGAGCGGTCCGAGGAGCAGTGGCGCGAGCTCATTGCGAGCGCGGGCATGAGGGTGGTCAAGATCTGGCGCCCGGTGCAGTCGGTGGAGAGCATCATTGAGGCTGAGCTGGCTTGATCCGCGGCGAGAGCAGAGTAGTCAACCAAGACAAAATACCAACAATTCGATTCAACCAAGCATCTTAGCATGCTATGCTTGCTAATCCCGCCTATGTAAAGATGCACTCCAAGGCGTCGACCTACGCTAAGTCCTAAGAGTAATGGCTCTGTCAAACTGGCCATTACACCCCAATGCCCTTTATCCTGATTCTACTCTCTACAACGAGTGCCCTTCCTTTGCGTTCAACAAAACCGCTCAAGACAAACCCACAGTCTCAGGTTCTGCCGCCGCCTGGCCCTGCCCATCTTCTCCTGATCCCTCAGCATCCGCAACTTCACTCCCACCCTTTCCCAGAACGACCCTGGTCAGGAACTCCACCGCATCATCAATCCCCTCCGGCTCCTGAAACCAGTGCCCGCCGGTGGCATACTCCCTCCACTCAACCTGCGCCCCAAACCCCGTCAGCGTATCCCTCAAACCGCGGCCCCTCTCAATCAGCACCAACGGATCATCCACATTATGCTGCAACATGACCGGCGTGCGCCGGACCACACCGTTCTCCCCCGCAGGCGGCACGCCCTCCCCGAGCGCCAGCACCGCCCTCATCTCGGCAAGCGACCGGCCCATAAACGGACAACGCCCACAAAACCCCATAAATGCCGCCAACCCGCCCCCATTTTCTCCTGGAGACACATCCAAATTAAACAGCGTATGTACCCCCGTCGCAGCTCCCATGCTAATCCATGCCAACACGACGCGATCCCACCGCCCGCCCAATTTCCCCGCCTCGCGCGCGAGCATCGTCCTGACGACGGGCACCATCTCCCTCAGCCCCTCGACCTGCACGTCCTCGCGCAGCGAAAAATCCCGCGCCGTCCACACGTCGAACCACTGGTGCATGACCTTCTGGTGGAAGTGGTCGGCCGTGCTGGCGACGGGCCGCAGCGGCGCCTGCGGGAACACCCAGCGAAAGGTCGGGAAGGTGTCGAAGAGGGTTTGCCCCGTTCGCGAGTGCCGCCAGTTGTGCAGCGCGCGGGTGAAGGAGCGCGTGTTGTCACCGCGGCCGTGGAGGAAGATGACGGTGTGGGTGTGGATGGATGGGTCGGTCGGGGGAATGGTGAGGGTTGGGAGGTCTGGAGTAGGATTCCGGGTGGTGGTGGTGGTTGCGGTGGTGTCGGAGGTGGACATGGTGACTGGCTTCTGGGATATGGCCTTTCAGTCTGATAAGAGGAAAGATGTGAAGGGAAGCCGAAGGTTACCCGTCGAGCGATGGTTGGGCGTCGTTGGTTCAAGGTGGTGTGACCGAATATTGGCGATAGGTGTTTTCGGTTGGTTGGTTTTCTGCTGTTGGTTGCCCGACTGCTACCAGGCGCAGGAGCGTGCGTGGTATGAAGTACGAGGCAGCCCCCAACCCCCGCATTGCTCCGTCCAATGCCACGTAGTTCCAGGGATTTGCAAGGGACCATGCGGTGGTTGAGTTTACAACAAAATCGGCCCCCTATCAGACCACTGAGCGGACAGGCAATCATGCCACCAAAAAACAAGCCCATGTATCTGACGCCGGAATAAACAGGTTGTAAGGTGTAAGGGTATCACAAATCCTATCTTCCGGTCCGACAAGCCACTCGCCTGCGTCATACACAAGCTCGCTGAGCGAACCATCCTAAACCGAGCAAGCAACAGCAACCCGGGCCAAACAACAACGCTACTACCCCCACGTTCCACCACCACCACCCGTCCGCCCGCCCCTCCGCTGCGCACTCAACCGCCAGTCGTCCTCGCCCTGGAATCTGTTATACAGCGGCTGGATCCTCTCGGCCTGCTTCCTCTTGCTCAGGCGGTCTGTCGGCGCAACCTTGAAGAAGGTCGGCGCCGCCTCCACCAGCCACTTGGGCTCGATGCTGGTCGTGAAATGCATGTACTCGCGCGTCGTGAGCACCAAGGTATGATACACGACCCACTCGGCCTGCTTGCCAAATAGCGCCGAGCTGGGGTGCAGATACACCGGTGTGCCCTCGATCAGCGTCTTGTAGCCCTCCTGCGGATCCTTGCGGGCGGTGTTGCGGAAGAAGCCGGCGCAGAGCGACTGCCGGATCTTGTCAGTGTCGCGGCCGCAGCTGATGATGGGGTGCCGGTGGCGCTCCATAATCTTGACGATCTGCTCGCGTACGTCCTTGGCCCTGCGCATCGTGCGGGCCTGGATGAAATTTTCGAAGCACCATGCGTTGGCATAGCCGTTGTTCTTCCACGAGTTGTAAACGTTGAGGAGCGTGAGGTGATCGCCTGATGGGTCGTGGAACTTGGCCTTCTTCTGGTCTGCTTGGTTCTGCTTTTCCTTTGGTCGGTAGAATACTGTGGTTTGGCTGAGCATCGAAACGATGGTCACCATCTCGTCAGAGCAGCCCTTGTCGACCGAGGCGATAAGGACTTTGGAAAGGGATGGTTCCATGGGGAAATCCGCCATCTTCCTACCCCGACGGGTCAACAGCCCTTCGTCATCCAACGCTCCCAGGGTATACAGTTCCTCGAGCGCCGTAAGCATCGTGTTGACGGGCGGGGGCTAAACAACGTCAGCAACCGCAAGGTACTCAAGGAACGACGGAACTTACATCCATAAAGTCGAAGCGGAGTAGATCGTTGATCCCCATGGCCTTCAACATCAGGATTGTAGTGGACAGATTTTGCCGCTGTATCTCGGGGATCGTCGTGGGGAGCATTTCGGACTGGAACGCGGCCTCAGTGTACAGACGGAAGCACTTGCCTGGGCCTGTACGGCCCGCACGACCCGCTCGCTGATTCGCCTGCGCCTGGGAAATAGGGGTCACCACCAGGGAGTCCATTCCCAGCTTTGGATCGTATGCATTCTGCTTCACGAAACCGGGGTCGACCACGTAGTAAATGTAGTCGATGGTGATTGAGGTCTCGGCGATATTGGTGGCAATGACGACCTTGCGGCTGCCGGGCGGCGCTGGCTCAAAGATCTTGCTCTGCATCTCGCTGGGAAGCGCAGAGTAAACTGGTAGGACAATGAGCTCGGGAACACCCGGGCCTAGAGCCTTCATCCTTTCGTACAGAATCTCGCAAGCCGTGTCGATTTCTTCTTGACCTGTTAAGAAGACCAGTATGTCACCCGGGGGTTCGGTCAGGTGAATTTGCATCACCGTGGTGAGCGCCGCATCGAGGTAATCCGATTCCCTACACAGGTCAGCTACTTGCCAGACTCTGAAGGCTTAAGGAGTGTAGACGTACGGTTCCCGTGAATAGAGAATCTCAACGGGGAAAGTTCGTCCGGGAATAGTAAAAATGGGGCACGAGTTGAAGTACTCGCTGAACTTGTCCGCATCCAGAGTTGCGCTTGTAACGATGATCTTGAGGTCGTCTCGTTTCTTTACGGTCTTCTTCAACAACGCGAAAAGGACGTCAGTCGCAATTGTCCGCTCATGGGCCTCATCCAACATGATAACGGAATATCTCTTTAGGTCAGGATCCATTAGGATCTCACGTTGCAACCTATGTTTAGGTCAGTAATTCGACACCAGCAGCGGAGAAGCAAGGACGCCTACATTCCGTCCGTCATATATTTGATCTTCGTTGCCGGACTGGTGACGTCTTCGAATCTGATGGTGTAGCCGACTTCCTGGCCGAGCTGGCATCCAACTTCCTCGGCCACGCGCTTGGCTACCGATACAGCCGCGACTCGGCGAGGTTGCGTGCATCCGATCATGCCGTTGTTTGAGAAGCCAGCTTCCGCGAGATATTGCGTAAGCTGCGTGGTCTTTCCTGAACCAGTCTCGCCCACCACGATCAGAATCTGGTTTTCTTTGACAGCTTGGATGAGCTGGTCTCTAAAAGCAAAAACGGGCAGCGACTCCCGCTGCTCCTTGATGCTCATGTTGGTTCGCCTGCCGAGGGGCTGATCCTTTGCTATGGCCTTCTTCCACTCGGAAAATCCCTCTGGGGCTGATTGTGTCGCCTGGGCCCGCTTCCGCAGGTCGCTAGCAAACTGTCGTGTTTCAGGGTTCGCCATAGGATCCTGCCACTGCGACGACAAATCGACCTTCGGTTTCTCCTGCTGTGCCTCAGCCTCCTGCTGCCGCAGCTCCTTTCTTTCCTTCGCCAAGTTGGTCCCAGCCATGGCCGCGCGGTTGAGTGAGCCGTCAGGTGCCTTGACGACTCGGATGGGCGACAGCTCTAGCGACTGCTTGGTTTGCCCCGCCAAAAACGGGGGTTCCTCGTCCCGAATTTCAATATCGAATTCCTCTTCCAGTTCCATCTGCCCTTCACCCCTAAGTGTGGCATTGTATTCGTCTTCGAGGTCGGGGTAATCCGAGGCCTTGACAATCCCGGCAGCGATCATCTGGCGGATTTCCCATCGTTCTGGAGAGGTCATTCGCTTCTTCTGGCTCCGTGCCACTGCGGAGGCTTGGAAGGAGCCGTTTAGCGCATTCGCCGTGTCGCCTGGAACCTTGCCACGGCCGCCGAGAGCCTCCATGTTCGCGCCAGAACCTAACCTCATCTGCGGCGCGAGGTCCATGCCCGTCTGCTGATCCACGTCTTTCATCGACAGCCCTATCCTGTTGCCCTCGATCTTGATGACTTTGACCTTGACATCCTGCCCCTTCGAAACAACATCCGACGGATGGTCGACCCGTTGCCCGAATGCCGAAACATGGACCAATCCATCGACCTTGCCCCTGACGCCATGTAGGTTCACAAAGGCGCCAAAATCTTTGATCCCTGTGACATGACCATCGTAGATCTTGTACAGCTGTGGTGTGTCGTCCAGCTCCTGAGGTGGCGGGCGGCGGAAATCGTCGTCTTCGTCGTAGCGGCCGTTCTTCCGTCGGCCACGCCGGGGGGACGGCGACCTCGACCTCGACCTAGATCTTGAGCGATATCGGTCTTTCCGTTTCCGCCTCGACTCGTCTCGGTAGCCGTCCGGGGTGCGACTGCGTTTTCGTGGACGGTCATTGTCGGCCCGCTTTGGCTCCAAGCTTTCCAACATTGCCAACGTGTCATCAATGGCCTCCACGGCCTTGTCGGGGATGGAAAGACCCTTAAAGACCTTGGTCTGTTCCTCCACTGGCCGCTTCGGCTTCTCGTCGCCGCCATCGTGCTGCGCGCCATTTTGTTTCCCTTTGAACTTGGGGTGCATAGTCTGGACAAGGCGATCAATGCTCTCCACCAAGCTGGGCGAGAATTCGGCCCCGTACGCAGCTAGCTTGGCTCTAAAATCGGCAAAGGACGCGCATTCTAAGCGCTGAGCGATGACGAACTCGGCCAGCGTCTTGTCGTTGATCCCCAAGTGGTTCTGCAATTCCGACGTGACTTTCGACACGAGCGAAAGCAGCTCGAGAGATTCCAAATCGTCCATGTTTTCGGCTAAGCGTAGATGAGCGGGGCTAAACAAGTGAAGGAGAAAATATGGCCAAAAGGCCACAATCTATGATGGCTGACGGTTGCAGGTGGTCGGGTTGGAGATGGAGGAAATGGAATGGGCATTCTGCCTCGAATTCTCGACCGCCTTTGTTGCCAAGGCTCGGCTCACAGATGTAACCCTAACCCAGACATTATTATGTGGGGTGCCCAACCTTGTGCATGCCGCCAGGCCACAAGCAGACAAGCGCCATCCCACATTACGCAAGCCCCTGGCACCGCCACCCAATCTGGTCATCAGCTCCATTAACTGGACCCCGTGTTACATCATGGTCCCGCGACCCTTCATGAACACTGCTTCACCCAGATCTCTCAAATCACCCTCCGACATCTCCAACCTCCGCGACCATCTTTTCACTCGCTTTACTTTACGAAACTGACGCTGCCACGATGTGCTCGACCGATATCTTCCTCGGTGTTTTGGCCGTTCTTTTCCCGCCACTTCCCGGTCAGTTGCCCGCGTCCATCCCCGCAGCTGCTTGGTTGCCTGGAGCACCTCTCCCTCACAGCAGCCAACTAACTCACACAACAGTTTGGGTAAAGCGCGGCATTTGCTCCGCAGACTCGGTCATCAACATCCTGCTTTTCATCCTAGGCTACGTACGTCCATTTCCTCCCTCTTCAACCCTGTCGAGCTTCCATCTGACTGACCCATTCTCATCGCAGGTCCCCGGCCTCCTTCACGCGTGGTACATCATCGCAACGTACCCGGAGCCGCCTAACGACTACGACTACCATCATCTCCCCCAAGACGCCGAGCACGGCCGCATCTACGTGTTTGTCCACAACAACGGCCACGGCCCGCAACCGCAAGGCTACCAGCAGCAGCCGCACGCCCACGGCCACCCGACCAAGCCGCAGAGCCAATACGTGAACTACGGGACCACAGGCGCTCCTTCGTCGGCGGCTTCCGCTAGTCCCCAGCAGCATCCTCCACAAGAGCAGGGCACCACGTCGCCGGCCGGCCCGAGCGAGGGCGGCGCGCCGCCTCCGAGCTACGCACAAGTCGTTGCCGGGGATCATAAGGTGCAGACGCATGACTAGAGTTGGGACATGTGCTTGTTCTGTGCCTGTGCCTCGACTTCTCCTGCCCGGCAGTTGCAGAAGCGGGGTCATTGCGGTGTGCGCCAAGAAGCGTTGGTGCTAGGGACTCAGCGCCAGAGACTATATGGCTTCTTATCTCGGCCGTGATGGCCGTGCTCTTGGCATGGTAACTTGGGATGTCTCTAGCTCAGAAAGGTGTTGATGTTGGGCCGTGAATGTGTGTGGGGACTAAGACAACGGGATGTTTTGGATGAGCTTGGTTGGGATGGATAAGTGCGATCACTATGTTATGTTAATGACCTGGTAACGTTAGCGTCTTGTTGTATTCAATTAGTCGAGCAATGATCACGGCAACACTGGCCCCACAGCTCAGCGTTGGTTTTGAGAAAGCCTTGACACTACCTAGGTAACCAATGTCCAACCCAGCATTCGAAGGATGGGGTGGCTGTTGGACAGTTTCCAAGCTGGGCATTCTCGATACCTGTTTCAGGGGCGACTTCCATTACACCCGGGTTGACGTGGTCCGCTTAGGGAACGCGTCGCGAGAAGCAAGCGCAGTTCAGATTCAACACGTCCAGATTCACAGGTCCGATAAATCAACGAGTTATCTACCTTTCTACGAAGTAGCCACGTGCTCTCTCTAGATTGGTTCGTCAAATCGGGCAACGAAAGGAAAGAAATAAGCAAACGGAAAGAAACGAATAGAAAGAAAAAACACAAACGAAAAGAGAAAAAAGGAAAAGAAACAGAAAGAAGAAAAAGAAACGAAAACGGATAGATTAGAAAAAGGAAAGAATCGAAATGAGAAGAAAAGGGAAAGAAACGAAAAAGAAAGGAACAAAAAAGGGAAAGGAAGTCAAGACAAGCGCGCCCCACGCCCCAACTTCCATCACCGGCGCACCTCCCAGGCCCCAAGCCCCAGTCCCCGGCATCCCCGAGATCTTCTCTGCCTCTAAACAATTCCGTCGCCGTCCGGAACCGCAGCCGTATCCTCCTCGTCAGCGTCATAAACGCTCCTCGCCGGCCGATCGTTGTGGACCGGCTCCTTGTAGTTGAACATCAGTTCCTGCGGCAGAAAGACGTAGAAGCTTGGCCGTATCTCCTTGATGTATTGGATGAACTTGAGGCCCACGTTCAGGGTGCCCATTGCCATGGTCAGCTTCATGCCCACCGCCATGAGCTCCAGAGCGTCCTTTTCCAAGATGAGCTGGCTCTCCACATCCGCCTCAGGCGGGATGGTGGCGGTCATCGAGTTGTCCCAGCCATCACGGACAATTACAGGACGAACGGTGATAGTGCCGCACGGCTCGATGTCCGGGTAGTCAGCGAGATGCTTGTTGATGGCCTTGTACTTGGCTTGGAAGGCGTTGCTGGGGGGCGTTATGGTAAGGACCTCGAAGGTCATCTCGGTCGTGTCGGTGACGCACCACTCGATATCTGTGGGATAGTGATTGGCTTCCAACAAGATCGAGATTGTGGCTGCAGTGCTGATTCTGGCAAACTTTGGGTCGGGAAGTGGCTGCCCCCAGCAGCTGTCAGGACCTGACGAGTTGTCATACGCTCCCTTGACATGCAGCACGTGGAGTGCAGTGTTGAAGTGACCGGGGAGCAGCTCCCGCAAGTGCGAAATGGCCGGTACCTCCTCATGGGCGCGCCGACAAACCTGCTGGGCGTTCCTGACGTCGTCGACATACTCGGGGCAGACGTCGTGGCGGTCAACGTACTTGAGAAAGTTGAGCACCACGTCGACGCCCATGAAGTAGTCGGCCGTGTTGGAGCCAACCATCTTACGGAGATGCTCGGACCTGGAAACGTTAATTGTGATCCCCACAGAAGTTTGAACCGGTCGCGGGAGACTTACACAAAACCCGCTGCAACGCCAGTGAAATCGACATCCCAGTGCTCGGGGTAGTTCGGGTTGTAGAAGCGAGGGTTGTAGTTCCCGTCTCCACCGCGCTGGATCACATCGTCGGCCGTCATCTCTCTAACCTCTCCTTTGCTTGCGTCCTCCAGAACATCGTCTGTGATGGTCCGAGTGCCCTGAAACTGTCTCACGGTGGTATCGATTCCCCCCAAAACAAGGTACCGGGAGAACAGTGTGTCGCGCTGCGGGCCCAGGCGTCGGCGGGCGCGGTAGCGCTGGATGCACTCCTCGATACGGTCAACGAACGGGCGGTGGGATGCGTAGATGACCTCCTTCTCCTCGTTATACTCGGCCACCGTCATGGGCGGGTCACAGTAGTACTCTAACGTGTATTAGCGACCGTGTAAGACAACGGAGGTTGTAGCCTCATTGCTGTTGGATACCAAGACTTACCTTCAAAACCAGTGCCTCGTTTTTTCGCTCCAGCGCCACGTTTCGTCTTCTTTTTCTTGGTGCCGTCTTCTTGCCTTTCGTCCTCCGCTCGGACTCTGCCAACGCCGGCAGCCTGGGGTTGAGTCTCGGCTGACGAGACACCCAGTGTATTCTCCAGACGTGTAGAACTCGAGTTCGCGGGGGAGGCCATCCTCGTAACTTCTGGGGCGAGGGCCGCGGCTGTGGAAACGACTTTACTGATCTTTCTGCGCTCGAAATGTTCCCGGCCAAAAAGGTTGAAGTTTGCGAAGTGAAGGTCGACAAACTCGAATGACAGACGATAACTTGGAAATCGGGCAAAGCCAAATGATAGAAGACGAATCTGACAATTGAAAGAGAAGTGCAACACTCTTTTTCTCTCTGGGCGTTTTGGAAGAAAACGAGAGTTGGAGGCACAAACTGACAAGAAAAGGAACTTGAAGGCGAAGTCGAGAATCGGGTCTACAAGTGCCGATTTCACCGCAATGGCGACTTCTTGTGAAAGTAAACTAAAGAAACAAACGGAGGGAGTTGGTCGAACTGGCAGTGGGAATCAAGCCGTAGAAATCGATATCTCGTTGTTAAGCGTAAGATATAGAACAAATCGAGATGAATAAGTTATTTTGGTTCACAGGTCTGATGCTTCCCTTTCATGATAACTTGGCCTGAAGCCTACTCTTCGAATTGAAACGCCTTTGCCGCCTGGTTATGCTGATGGTTATATTGAAAGACAGTATTGCGCAGGACAGGCTCGAGTGCAAAAGAGATAAAGGTAAGGAAGGTAGGAGCCCAAGCCACCTCTTAGATCCCAGAGAATGTCACCTTGTGTTTGAAGAGCAAGGGAAGCCAACCAACACATCGCAGCCAGTAAACCACATCATGCATCAACTGGCCATGACAAGCGGGAGTTTGCTCTTGTCTGTTAGGAGACTTGTCTAGCGCCCAGCCATCCAAACAACTGAATGCAACTTTGGTAAGCAGCAGGACAAACCACCTCGTGCCGAGCTAGCGTCCCGAGGATCGAGCAATCACCTTTGAATCGACACACCTTACCTCAGCGAGGATCCATTGCGCCGTGGTTAAAGGGAGACCAATACTTGGATCAATGACCGTCCGCATCCGAAAGTTTGGGTTCGGGTTGAGATTAAGCGGTTAGTCCTCCACTCATGCAACCGAGCACTTAAAACCCTGAAAAGCGAATTGAGCAAAAGTGAGAACCGACGAGCACACCAGCGACATAGCGAGATACGGATACATCTCGTACCTCTCCCGCAAGGTCGGCTCAAGCGGCTGGGCTGATAGGCACGGTTTCGAATGCATCAACAAAGCGTCATATTATCGGCTAAGCTGGTGCCCTGTTCCTAAAATATGAAGAAGCCGCCAGTGTGCCGGGAGCAGGGAGGTCAAACGGGACATAGTGCTGAGGTATGCCATGAATAGTTTGGTGGGAGGGACAAGGGAGCCATTTGATGCGTTGCATAAATAAACGGCCGTCGCTGCGGTAAGTGTTGTGCAAAGTAGTACAAGCAGAACAAGTTGGTCCCTCTGCTACCACTGCAGTTTGTTCGCTGGAATAAAGGCAGCTGCCTTCTGTCCTGGAATCTGCCTTGCGCCTTGAGTCTGGTTGTCGCCGACCGGAAGGAAGGCAGTCAAGCCACACATGCAGGTAGGGTCTCACTCCGCCTGGGCAACGTTGTGTTGACGCCAGCTGGAGCCATGCAGGCGGGAGGCTTACACTGTAGCCTTGTCTTCCTGTGGGTCTTTGTTTCCGCCGCGCTAAGGCAATTGCGCATAATTCGATTGGATTGATACCTCGGCATTCGAGCAGGGGCAATGCGAATCCGGAGATCAATCCAACAGCAACCCCCACCATCTTTTGAAGCGCGCTTCGCCCCGCTGTAGCGCCCCGCGAGTTTTCATCTGAGCTCAGCGGCCTCGTTGGCGCCTCGCTGGTCAACAATGCCATGGTTTCCCACCGGGGACAGGTCCTTCTCCTGTTTCATGCTTCAGCTAACTTCATCTCTGCGTCAGTCTGACGCTTGAATTTCGTTCGCCCATGCAAATGAGCAAATTCCACCGTTGACAACACAACACTCCCTTTAAGTACCGACACTGGAGCAGTATTCGCGAGCTCTGCATCATATCTGCAGCAACAAATCGGGTTGCCATTCGCGAGTGGAGGCTCGTCGAACGAAATGACCGGCACTCGAGAACTTCCCAGCCATGCCGAACTTCAGCCATGTGACCACACGGTTGCAGGACAGTACGCGCGCACCCCAGATACCCTTGTTTGAGTCTCGATACTGACTTCCCTCTTCAGTGATGGGGCACTGTCCGACGCCAATGGCGAGCTTTTTATCAAGCCCTGCATGCAGCAGGAGATTGACTTCTACGAGAAAGCCTTCCAGGAGCACCCCGATTTTGCTGCGCTTATGCCCGTCTACCTCGGGACCCTTGCCCTCAACGACGCGACCGATGCCAGCTCCTTGAATGAGCAGCTTCCTGCCGTTGCCGAACATCTCAGCGAGGGGCTAAAGGAAGAGGCAGTGTTAGCGGTAAAGGAGACCTTGGGCAAGGCAGCTGATGAACCGGCTGACGGGCAAGGCAACATCGCGTGGAAGCCGAACAAGAACCGAAGGATCGTAACAAACGCGTCGGTTGTTCTCGAGAACAGCACTTACGGATTCAAGAAACCCAACATCCTCGATGCGAAGCTCGGCCGGCGGCTGTGGGCCGACGATGCGCCCATGGAGAAGCGCAAGCGATTCGACGAAATCACCAAAGCGACCACCAACGGGTCGCATGGTTTCCGCATTGCGGGAATGCGTGTGTACAAGGGTTCCGATAACCCCGAGGAGCTCGACTCGGAAGACTTTAGGATCTACAGCAAAGACTATGGCAGGTTCCAGGTCAACAAGGACAACGTCGTGCAGGAGATCGGCAAGTTCATTTTCAACGAGCGGGCCGGTATTGACGAAGACCTCGGGAGAGCGGTTGCGCAGGCCTTTCTTGGGGATCTCAGGCGGGTGGAGCACGTGCTGGCCAACTCGGAGACGCGCATGTACTCCGCCAGTCTGTTATTTACATTCGAGGGCGACGGTGAGGCCCTGCGAGAAGCAATCGAACAAAACAATGCGCTCGCTTCCGAGATGGAAGAGAAGAACAGGGAGCTTGACCTCGCGCAGGAGACAGTCGCCGAGCTCGAGGCGCAAGTGCATTCTGGTGCCATTGAAGGCGACGTCAAGGTGGTGGAGCTCATGGGAGATGTTGCCGCCGATAGTGACGAGGACGGAGATGCCGAGCTGTCTACGCTGCCGAGGATATATTCTCTCAAGCTCATCGACTTTGCACATGCCGAGTGGGTGCCTGGCCAGGGGCCGGATGAGAACAGCCTTCTCGGTGTTCGTAGTCTGATAAAGATATTTGAAGAGCTGGTTCGGTAAAGGATAGATGGATGAAGAGGTGTTTCTCATGAGAGACGGTATTCTCAGGCACTTCGGTAACGAGGAAATGTGTTGATCAGACGTCAATCATGAGGAAGGTTGTTAGAGAAGGTCATTGCGTTGTATTTCCTGAATACCCCCTTTTACTTTTCTTTTGCATTAGAGAACACAGCTGGATCTTGCCCAATTTCAAGCCTGCTATCCTTTAGACGAAAAACTACATCTCTAAGCATTCTAAATGTATACTATTAGTGTCACAGAACCATAGTAGGTCTGGGAAGATAACTGCGTTGCTCTATGAAGAGGAAAGGAAGCTATGGATGGATGAACCTGAAGCTAAGTGCAATGTGCCACGTGACCTAGGGATCGGCGGTCAGTGCCGTGACAATTAGCTCTAAAGACTTAACTTAACATATATTATCAGCGAGTAACTATATTAGTAAGTAGATTAATTTATATGCAATGTGTCTTTCTTGCATCTAATATTAATTTCCTCTACTATATTAATGTAACTATCTGATATTTCAGTCGAGGCAAGATTATTATTACATTATTATTCTTATACTACTATATGCTAGGGCTCGCCGGACCTTCTACTACTAACTACAAAGGATAATTATGCCTGCAAGGCTAGACAAAAAACTTCTATCTCTCTAATACTAGTGAAGTCCTTAATCTACCTACTATAGCGAAAAGAAAGGCGGAAATAGCTAACTAGGTCATCGAACTAGCTTCGTTCTAGCTATATAGCTAATTTATACTCTAGGAGTTTTCTAAGGTATAGTAGCTACCTAATTATCGTCCTTGCATGCCTTCTCTCTTTGTTTCCCCACTCTCACGAGGGGCGCTACTGATGTTACGGGTGGGCGCAACTGACCACTGCGTAACACCCTCAAAAGAGGGACCGTGGTTCGAACTGTCAAGTCGAACCAGGAGGTGCGCACATGAACCTCACACTGTCACGACCCGTGACAACTGACCACTATATAACACCCTTAAAAGAGGGACTAAGATTCGAACCATCTAGTCGAACTAAGAATTGCGCATATAAACCTTACACTGTTACTACCCGTGACACTACTTCTCCTTTAGGCGCTGCCCGCCTTATAAAGTAACACGCGTCGCGCTCTACGCTAGGGTTATAGCTCTACCTCTAAGTGTATTATATTCTCCGCCATTAACGAAGGCTGTAGCAATGGATAGATATAAGTTTGCTTGCTTTTGGTTGGAGAATATCGAGGTATTGATTCGAGTAAGTGACTCTGAAATCTACCCCTGATTTTCCTAACGTCTCTCTTCTCTATCTTCACCGACGAATCGTCCTACCAAAACAATACGAGCAGTTCAACGACTTGGATATTCCGGTTCCCTTCTCAGAAATGGGATAAGAACTCTCGTCAACTTAGAAAGTCATGGCAAAGGCACTATTTCGATTATGATCTGGGCTGGAATTCAGAAAGGGGGAGGACTGACATAGTCGCTATGGAACGGGACTACTAACCACCGTACAAAGAGGATATAGCTCTTGGAGCCATCAACGAGCATTGAAATAAGGTCTTCTTCCAATATGCGACGGCATAAGGCAATTTCAACAAGACAACGCTCGGATCACATATCGATGTCGTCGACCACGTGGCTCCTGAACCGCGCCGTTGAGGTGCTTGAGGATTGGCCCGCTCACAGCCCGGATTTTATTGCAATCGAGCATATATGGGCTTTGTTGAAATGGAGGATGAAACAGGAATATCCAGACATCTGGTCTCTCAAGAAAAACTAGCTGGATGTTGCTGAATTCACTCGATGTCTTCGGGCATGTTGGTGTTGAACTGAACTGGCTCCTTGGCACCTGGATTCAGGGGCTGGGCACTGTTGCCCAATGCAGTAAGCGTGGAAGACTCGTCACCCACCCAAAAGCAGGGTCTGGCGAGGGCCCCGAAGCCCTCGGTTCTTTAAGCAAAACACACACATCACGCATGGTTCAGACAGTCAATTCAAGCTTCATCTTGTGCCTCAATTGATGCAGTGTCACCTGGTTGGTCTATGCCTATTCGAGCCTGTAACTGTTGCTGTCCAACACGGCGCAACCGCCGTGACATTTAGTACTCGATACTTTTACCTTCAGCTATAATTACTTTCTATAACCTATCTGGCATTAAGTATGCTAACTACAGTAAAAGGTTCTCCAATATTATACTCTATACCTCCTAATCGCTATATGCAGAGCTGAATGACCAAGTTGTGAATGATCTAGATAGTAGTCCTCAACGTAGTTCTTCAGCTATTGCTAGAAATTCTCCATTGAATTGAGGTCCAGGCTTCGTATAAGCCAGTCTAATAGTTCAGGTCTAAGTACTATAGTGAGATACCTTACTAACTGAGCTATATAGGCAGCAGCGTTGTCTTGTTAAAAGACGAATGCGCAGTATAAAACTTTCAGAACTGCCATATACGTAGAGGTATATAACGCTGATATTTCTTGCTATTTATATTCCTATATCCCTTCTTTTTAGAAGCACTTAGGTCCCTTATACTATCTGGCGAAGTAGCTCTAGAATATTCAGCTATGTGATTATATCTGAAGTAGTATCTAAGTTCGAGGGTCTTCGGTATCGTATTGTCACGGGTGGGACAGGCTGATAGTCCAATGGCAGTTGTCTTAGGGCTAAGCTACAGTCTGGGCTCTATTCCGTCAGGTACGGGCAGGCTTGATTGTCAAGACGTAGTTCAAGGAGCTACGAACAGAACTCGCGGCAGCGAGGTGCAGAGTCTTCAACCCGCAGGGGCCTCCACACGCTGGGCCCCACCCCTGGGTCCTGTCAGGCACGGCGCAATCGCCGTGACACGTATATAGTAATCCACTTCTTCTATATAGAGTTATTAGTAGCTTGAGTCTCATCGCTAAAGATAATCTTTGCCTAATTCTCGAGATTAGATTATAGAGCTAACTGCTTATATTTGAAGACGAGTTATATAACCTAGTACTAAGTAGTCAGTTTTGTCCCATAGGACCATTTCTTTCTTAAGTAACCTATCGATGGTATGGCTTTTATTCAGGAGTAGGCGTAACGTGTTTTATCAGCGAATGCACCATATCAGCGAGTGCACCACTGGTAAGGACTGCATATATATTTGGGTGCAGCACTAACGACGGGAATAAGCGGGGAATAAGCTGTTAGTACTTCGACTAAGTGTCTGTGCAGCCCTTACCAGTGGTGCACTCGCTGATATGGTGCACTCGCTGATAAAACACGTTAACGTTAGTTGAAAATTGAAAATATCCGACATTGTAACCATTGTACCACCTTTCATTTCTCCGTTGGGAGCCTGAAATTTCCCATTCCTAGTACGAAGTACGCGCGCAAATACCATACGTCAGGTATTACTAAATCGTTACCGCTATTCTTCTTACGTGCTGCCCCACCGTTGCCTGCCGCAGCCTCAAACTACCAAATGGAGCTTCAGCTCAAATTGAAGCTTAACTTGGAAGCTTCCGTTTCCCTACAACCACCGATTCAATGGGGTATTAGTCCTTCCAAGATGTCTATTCCCGGCCTTGGGCAGATAGCCCCGCAGGTACGAGCCCGTCCATCACCCAAACCGCATCTTCTCCGTGACGATTAGCTTTGCAATGAACGATGCACAGTCACCTATTTCAGAAGCCCCGGCTAACAGCCCGTACGTCCAAAGCAACCCACACCATCGACGACCCGCACAATAACCCTCCGCCCCTTCTGGGAATGGCGCTTCCAAGTGCCCCGCAGCTCATCGACGACCAACGCGGCCGCCGGCGCCACCGTCCGCCTGATCTCGGGCACCGCCGAGCGCGACGGCACCGAGTTAGCCCTCAACCGCGCCTATACCTTCCCGCGCAACACCCAGTCCAAGCTGCTGACCTACACGGGCGCCACGCTCGAGGTGAGCGGCGACGTCGTCGACCGCGTCGCGCAGTACGCGGCGCCCGAGGACTCGCCGCAGCTGATGGTGCTGAATCTGCATTTTGCGCTGCAGGAGCTGAGGGCGGCTGCTTCGAAGAATAGGAGTCAGAATAATCATCTTGATGATAATAATGGGGCGGGAGCGGCAGTGGGGTCTTCATCGATGCCAGCACCAGGGCCAAGGGTTATGATTTGCGGGGAGAAGAGCAGTGGCAAGACGAGCGTTGTGAGGACGCTGGCGGCGCTCGCGACGAGGGCTGGCGGGCAGCCGCTGGTGGCGAGCGTCGATCCGAGCGAGGGCTTGCTGGCGCTGCCGGGGACGGTGAGCGCAGCCCTGTTTGGGACGGTGATGGATGTTGAGGACCCTGCTGGCGGGTTTGGCGTCAACGGGACGCCCAGCAGCGGCCCAAGTGCGGTGCCGGTGAAGCTGCCGATGGTGTATTATCTTGGAAGGGAGAGGGCGGAGGAGGACGTGCCACTGTGGAAGGACTTGGTGAGCAAGTTGGGGAGCTCGGTCAGGGCCAAGCTTGCGGCGGATGAGATGGTGAGGGAGACGGGGTTGGTGTTGGATACGCCGGCGATGACCGTGGCGAAGGCGGATATGGAGAATTTGGTTCATGCTGCGACTAAGTTTGCGGGTGAGTTGCTGAGAAGACTTGAAAGGCCGTGTGGTGTTTGTCGCTAACCTGCAACAGTGAACATTGTGATTGTCATTGGCTCGGCGAAACTCCACAATGAATTGCAGCGCCGCCTGGGAAACGAGCGAACGGCACATGGCGAAGCGATCACCTTCACCCTGCTCGACAAATCTGAGGGGGTGGCGGAACGGGACAAGGAATTTATGAAGTTTGCTCGTGAAGCAGCGATCAAGGAGTACTTCTTCGGTGATGCCAAGAGGACGCTGAGCCCGTTCACGCAGTCGGTTGGCTTTGACGACGTGGCGATCTACAAAATCCCCGATGGTAAGGTCTCGATCTCGTACATCTGCCAGTCCTGACTGACAATGAGCTAGATTCAGATTTCTACGACAATCAGCCAGCTCTCGAGGCTGCGGAGGTGTCTGCGGAAATGTCTCACTGGACGCTTGCCGTCATGAATGCCTCGGTGAACGATCCACCCGACACCATCCGACAGGCACCCGTTATGGGGTTTGTGGCCATCGCGGATGTGGACGAAGACAGGCGGCGGCTCAAGATCCTCTCCCCGGTCAGTGGCCGGTTAGGGAATAGGCCGATGGTATGGGGTCGATGGCCTGAGCCTTACATCAACCTGCTTGGGTAGTTGGATTTATGTGTGGCATGGCAGTTGCATTTCTGTCGCTCTCCACCGGATGCGGTTGGGTCCGGCGTAAAGGAGGAGGGGACTTTGAAGCTTGGGGATGGCAAGGCACGCCCATCAGGCGAATTTCCTCTCCTGTTGCATTAGTAAAGATCACTAAATTTTAGTGAGAGATACCCTAGGTTCGACAAAGTCCCAGCATTTGAACAAGCGTGGGCGGAGTATCCCCATGCCCTGTCCCGTCCATCCTTGTTTGTTTGAGGCACTTGAACCACACCACCGGGACTGTGATACCGCAGCCCTAGAGGAAGAAAAGCCCTAGGATCGGAAGTGGGAGAATTCCTTCCCGCAAAGGACGCTTCGAGTCAAATGTTGGGCAGTTGGGTTTTCTGTCCTTGTTGGTCGAAGTGAAGCCCAGTGGTTGGTTCCGCGACAAACAGCTTCGAGACGGCTCGCTTGATTTGAGGTCTCACTTCAATTCGAGGGTGTTGGGTTGGAGAGGCTGAGAGGCTGGCTTCGGCTGGTCAGCCGAAATCACAGGCTTCCATTGTCTTGTGAGGTTCAACCAGCTTGCACCTCGGCAGACACGCTCGCTTATTGGCCCAATCCGAATCCGGTGCGCACAGGCCATCGCCCACAATGCAAGGGCTCGCTCTCTCCTCCCTTGCTACACTTACAAGTCCAGGACCAAGGCCGCTCGCTAGCCCTTCCTATTTTTAAAGATGGTCACACTATGCACGGATGACCCCCAACCAATATTGTTGAGCCTCCAACGCCATCTCTACGCTAATCGATATCAAATCCAAGCCAGTCGGGAGAGCTGGGACGGGACAGCTGATGCATCAGTTCCACGGCAGGCGCGGGATGCACAAAATCGGGTCCCGCGATGCGATGCGCTAACTGCCGACTCGGGCGGATGGCCCTGTCAGCTGGTGGCCCTTCGCAATGTCACATCGTATCGGACGACGTATATGTCACGTGGACATGTTACTTTGCGTGCTGTACTCGGTCGCGACCCGTTCGTAGGCCGCAACTGGCTGAGTTGGAAGAGACAACTGGATGAGCGGGCATTTCTTTGGTCTTGCGCATCTTTTCGATGACGCTGTCTCTCTGTCCTGCAGCCAGGCGGCCTCGTGGTTGCAATCTCTCTCTCATCAGCGCCTCGGTCCACGGATGTGCTTATTGCCTCCGTTGGCGCCTGCATGACCAGTCAGAGCCAACCAGAATCATGACGTGGACACCAAGCCCCCATCCGAACCTCCCACATCTCACATCCGGGAAATGTTCAAAAACCTTTGCTTTTTGTCGTCGAGTTGGCTATTGTCGGGAGACTGCAATTCCGGGTCGCACGACCATCTCGACTGATCATGCCGATCCCCCCAAGGACGGCTCCACGGTCCAGATCCAACATAACCCCGGGCAGCCGAGTCTTGAATTTACGTCCATAATGCACACATCCACCACAACCCAGCCCTTTCTCGTTCTTTTTCTTTCGTCTGAAACTCGCCCCTGTTGGTTTGTTGGTTCACACATCCAGGCGTCTCTGCTTCATGTCCTTCTTGATCCCTCCCATATCACTTTCTGCATCCGGTCCTCAAGCCAAACCCTTCCCAGCTTTTGACTTCCCACGCACATCTCGACGAGAGGCGAGACAAACACAGAACTCTCATTGCTATTCTTATCACTCAGTCCAGCTCATACAACGGTCGACCAACCCAATAGGCTCACTACAAAACCCCTTTTCCGCCGCCGTCATGCACCTACCCCGGATAGACAAGCCTTGGTATTGTACGTTGGACCAGTAGTCTTGCCAATGCAGTGGAAGGCATACCGGCTCTCAGCATATAGCGTCTATGGCCTTTGCAGATGATGTCGTTTCTCCCACTCTACAATGGAGTGGCTACACCAGGGATGTCGCCGGTTGCAGTCCGGCATGTTTCTTCCCCTGCCAACAGCACAGAGCATATTGTCCGGGTCTTGCTGGCTCTTTCACTCGCAATCGCCTCCGTCAGCGTCATGGCCACCCTCTCCGCCATGTACTGGTTTGTGAAGATGAGACGCTGCTTCCGGCACGAGCAAGTACCGACTTGGGTCTTTCGGACATGTGAATCCCTGGCTAACACTTGACAGGTTGATTCTGCTATTAATCAGAAGCGACTTCCTCAAAACCCTCGTCTTCGTGGTCTTTCCCATCGTCAGTTTCGCTTGGGGCAGCATCCCATCCGACTCGGCCTTCTGTCAGATCAGCGGTTTTACCCTCGCCGTCGGCATCGAGTCATCCGATGTTGCCGTTCTCTTGATTGCCCTGCACTCAGCCATGTACATATTCCGGCCGAGGTCGGGATTGTACCCGTATCGGCGACTTGCCTACCTGGTCTTTTACCTGTATCCCTTGCTGGCCGCATCTCTGGCCTTCCTCCAGGGCAATGGGTACGAGAACATGGGCCACTTCTGCTACCTCAGGACCGACAGGAGTTGGGAGAGGTTGGCACTGAGCTGGATCCCGCGGTACATAATATTCGCGGGAATTGTCGTCATCTACGCCTTCATTTATCTTTATATTCGTAGGAGGATGGGAGATTATGGGAGGAGGTGCTCGGAAGACATGCAGCCGTCGCTGGCATCGATGTCGACAAACACACCGCCAGTCCCCCCGCTCTGCTACAACGGGCTGATAACGTCTACACCATCTTCACGGCGGACATCGGCGACTGATACCGTATCAGCGGCCAAAGAATCCCTGCGACCCTCATCCTCGACCTCGCGGGAGCGGCCGGCCAGTTCTTGGACAAGCACAGAGGCTCCGCCGTCAAGGAACTCAGTCCGGTGGAACTGGACGGGCTTCACACAGGCCCAGTCGTCCGGACTCGCCCACCTGCCATCAGACAAACCTGGGGTCCCGGTCGCTCCCAGCTTCTCCGACCTGCTATCACCGCCGGCGGCACACACCCACAGGCGCCTTCCAGCAACCTCCACGAGCCCCAATGCAACACCACAGCAAACCCTCGCCACCAACGACCCCTTTCCTCCACCTTCCGACGTCCCAGCCTCCTCCCTGATACTCGCACCACCAACATCCGCGTCCATATCACCACCACCCGCAGCCGATTCCGAGCAGCCCTACCTCCCAACCCCACTACCCGGCCACAGCCCTGCTGCCCAGCAAACCAACAGAAAACCCACCCTCCGCCAGCTCCGCTCCCTCTTCATCTACCCGCTCGCCTACACCATCACCTGGCTCTTCCCCTTCATCTCACACATCCTGGGCTACAACGACGACAGCAGGGCCCACCACCACTCCTCCTCTCCGCAACAACAAGGAGTAGTAGTACACAGCGACCCGCCGCCACCGCACTGGCTGCTCGTCGTGAGCCTCGCCAGCTTGTGCGTGCAGGGCGCGGTGGACTGCGGCGTGTTCATGGCCCGAGAGACGCCCTGGCGGTTTGAGGCCAGGGGTAGGGGGTTTTGGGCCGCGCTTTGGAGGAGATGGGGGTGGAATTTCAACTGGGAGGTACAGTGTGGAGGAAGAAGGAGGGTTAGTGAAGGGGCGGGAAGATCGAGGGAGGAGATGTTGGTTGATGGGCGGCTGGCGAGGGAGAGGAGGGAGGCGGAGGTGAAGTCTGAGAGGGAGAGGGGAATGTCTAGAGGGAAGGGGGTTGTGGTGGGAGGGGAGGTGGGGAGGGAGTGGTGGGATGTTTATACTGAGAGGGTTGAGGTTGTTGGTGATGATGATGATGTGGGCTATGAGGATTGGGAGGTTGATGAGGAGCTTCGGCAGGAGGTTGGGTGATTGGGGTCGGGTCACTGGCATGCAAGCCTAACACACGGCTCTTCTCAGTTTTGGAACTTGAAGGAGGTTTACAGTATACCCTTAGTTTCTTTGGATGTTGGGCGTGGTGGTGGGTGTGGTTGCATGAGAGATACCAGACAAGGGGGCATTCTTTGGCGTTTAGGGGCACATGCATACATGAAATCGGGCGACGTATTATTCCGGATTTGGACTCGATGCGAGTCACAGTTGATGCATGAAGCGCGAGGGCTGCAGGGACCTGACGATCGTCTTTTTGTATGGTGTGATGACCCAGGTGACGTGAGTGATCATCACGGGAGTGATGAGTAGATCGGCTTGGCATTTCTTGACCCTGTTTGTAGGGCCTTCTTGCGTAGCCGTTCCTCAAAGTCAGCAACCGTTTGTTGAGGTAGAGGTCCAGCGGCGGCATCCATGCCTCAGTTTCCCAGCACCCAGTGGGAGCCGTTTTATAGGCCCCTACTACTGTATTATACGCAGACTCCTGCTCTGAGCTTTCGACAGAACCTTTG